GCCCAAGGGAAAATTAGCAAGATGGCAGCTTCTATCATTTGGAATAATACCCAGGGTGCTGTAGGCTGTTCTCGGAATGGAAACATGTCAATATACTATAAAGCATTAGCCAATCAGAATATTACAAGACAGAGTGCTTATGTAATCGCACCAGCAGGAGACTATACATATTTTTTCCTTTCCTTTTTTCTTTGGAGATTAGAGCTTCTTTGGAAATTGTTGTGAAAACTCACCAAAAACCTTTACATTTAAACAACTGATATCGGGGGCCCATTTTGTGATTTTCTCTGGGCCACAATTACATTTTTAGCACCTTCTTACCTGGAATTGAGATTCAGGTTAACAAAGCTAGAACAAGAACCACATGCATTTGAGTTACAAACCAAGGGACAGATTCAGTCATGTGCTTTGAAATTCTCTACATGGTGTTTATGTATGATGAAGACAAAAAGTAGATAAAGTTCTTTATGCTATTATTTGTTCATAGTTATATATTTCCTAGTTAGATATATGTAAATAGCAAAGCCTAGCAAACGATTATAAAAAATAAAGAAATAGGGCATTTCTATATTTCAAATATCACAACTGAGCAGTACGGACACAGCATAAGAAAATCCTTGAAATTTTCCAGTATGGTTAAGTATGAATGGCTGAGCCTCAAAGCAACAGTCCAAATTCTCTTAACTAATATGAAGGCAATTTCTCTATTCCTTTACAACCCCTTTAGTAAGGGCTGCTCATATCTACGGCTAACACTTCAGCTGAGAGGATGTTCAAACAGTGCCACAGGCTCTTCCATGACCCGGAGTCTACTGCTGCTCGTGACAGTTTGGATGTGAGTTTTAAGTATTAACAAACTGCTACATCGCCATAGGGCATTTCTTTCTGCAGAAGGTAAGGAGTTCAAATATTCTACAGCCATGCCTTCAGATATTAGGTAGGGCTTGAATATTTAATATCTTTAACATTATGATTTTTAATAAGTTTTCAATCACAGCACATCTTGATATTTAAAATGTAATGATGTCTAGAGTTGTGTGTATCGTTGCCATGCACGAAGCTGAATATTTTAAAATAATTAGACAAGACCTAATAAAAGATCTTTAAAACAATGTTAGGAACATACAGCAGGCCAAGGAAAACAAGAGGGCATCTGTGATGCTGATGGGGAAAAATATTTTGCTTTTTTTTTTTAAGTTAAAGAATCCCAAGAGAGACTTTCTAGGCTTATGTGAACAAAAAAGAACCAACCAAAATGTTTTGAATTATTGTGCGGCTTACTTAATCTGTGGAGTTTTAATATATGTCTGGCTATGTAGCCATCTTTTAGTCAACAATCAGAAAATCAAAGGCAATTGGCAATGACTCAACCCAAACCCTAATACCACATGATTGTGTCGTGCAAGCTCGTTTTGTGCGAGGACCGCTGTGGTTTTAGCAGGGAGATTAGCAGTCGGGCCAAAGTTGGCCTCCAAACCTTGCCCTGCTGATGCCTCGAGCTCTTTGAAGTCTGACCATCATACCTGGCATAGCAGCAGTGGGAACTAGACTGGTGTCAGCTCTAATCAGGATGCTTGTCTCAGGAGACCTAACTACGGGGTGTGCTAATTGGCCCAATTGCGGATTATACCTTTTGCTACAGATTCAAGACAATAATTTAGTCAAATGGAGGTTTTTATCTCCTTCTAATTAAGATTCCTAAGTTAAAAAGAAATAGGATTAGACAGAGTTTAATATTTTACTTTTTTGGATACTACACTCTTGAAAAGCATCATATGAATATGGGGAGTTTATTTAAAGAAAGGGTAGGGGGTCGGGGTTGAGGGGCACAACAGTATTAAATCAGCTAAATGTAAGCAGCAAAAAAAAATTCCAACGTGTTTGGAACACGGACACGCGAATATGTTATCAAAACATACGTGTTAATTCTTCATTCAATGTTGAAAATGTAAAAAAAAAAAAACTTTCAGCTGTGGATTCTTCTACAGGTATGTGATGAAGGTTCCACAGCCAAAAACATTAGGGTTTTTCCAGTGTAGAACTAACCTCTTTACTATTTTTAAGCGTGCACACTGACATGCTTAAATAATGCTTTAACAATTATCAGTGACTCTATACAAACAGATTCATCAATAATTCCCACATGATAATAAAATTAATACAGCCTGTTAAATATTCTAATGTATAGCTCATTCTAATGTTTTCCCAGCACATTCTCAGGTATAAACTTTCTGTCTAGACACAGAACACATTACTTTGCCTTTATGTTTCTAGAAATTGAGACATTATGAAAATTTGAAAACCCACTAAGGAATAGACATAATCATAAGAGTTTTTGATAAATAATACTTAGTACTATCTGGTAAACTTACATATAAATTTATACGTAAATCAAATTTACATATAAATGTGTATACAACTATGTAAGCACAGAATTTCTTAGACATTTCTTAGAAATAAAGACTTATCTGTTATCTGTTATCAGGTAAAGACAGAGACCTCTTGTAAAGAATATGTACTGTAGATGGTTCTGTATTATACTACTGTATTATATGACCGACTTTGTGGTTTAAAACTTGTTCTAACACTGAGAGCAAAAAAGTTGTAAAAAATGTAATGAACAGCAATGAACATTTAAAACCTATTATTGTGTAGGGTTAAAAAATGGCTCCTATTGATTAACTTGTGACAATTGAAAAGAGCCTACAGGGAACATTCCCTACAATGGTGGGAACACTTGTTGAAGCTTACTCATTTTGGGGAATCCCCCATGCAAACATCACACGCAACCAAGAGTAATATCTGACATTTTCTCTGTTTTTCCTAAGAAAAAAGGTAGGACTGCCTAACCTGAGAAGGATCTCTGCTTTAAAAGTATCTCATCACCTCCGGGAGGAATAGAAATGTGAACCTGGACAGGGCCTGTCCCTCTTGGGAGTGTAACTAAGAGGCTGAAGTATTAACAAATTGCAGAGTACAAAAGGGCATTAAACAATTACAATCTACTGTACAATTCTGTTGTCAGAACAGAATGGAAAACATTTTGATAAAGGCATGAAAATACTCTCACCTTATAAACAAATGACCAGGAAACACATGGAAAAAAACAAAAGGAAAAGAAAAGATTACATGGACTATATATTTTACATGAAGTATTGTATTGGTTGCTGTGTGCTGTGTATTAAATACAAGAATGGGTTACCTAGCAGCTTTGCAAAACTCCAAACACAAAGAGTATTCTTCTCTCCTTTTATCCTCTCACAAAATGACCATCAAACAGGTAAAACAACACAGAAATTCACATTGTGCCCCTGCCATATAATGCAGTCTTAAATGAACAGCTGAATGGCTTTCAACTTCAATGGGGCTTTGCAAAGAGCAATTAAAGGCAGTAGCCAATAACCACCTTGATTTTTATGGACCTTATAAATCTACTGTTAAGTAGCTATTAAGAGGTGAGAATTCAAATCGAAAGACTTTCCATTCTCCCTTAGAGGATGACCTGATGGAACAATTGGCTTCCTGATTAACTATTAACCTCACTCAATGTGATAAGATAATGAGGACCAATAATGACCATTAATTGGAAGGAGGGCACCTTAATTTGTCACTTGATAGGGCTCTTGTTGATTTATTGTTCTGGAGTTGTGTGTGTGTGTGGGGAGGGTGGTGCCTGCAAGACTCAAGTAGCAGGGAAGCGCAAAGGAGGAGAAGACACTTAAGTTGCTTAATCAAGTGGTCAGATAAAGAGGCCAGAGGGTCAAAGCAAGGGCAGAGTGGTCACTTGAGGGTGAAGTCCCAAACACCAAAGCAGTGCCAACCCAATTGACCAGCAGCAGATGAAAGAGTAAAAAGTATGCTAATTTTGCGGGTGGGTATTCTTTTTTCAAACAGTGAAGACAAGTGGCCTGCATAAATTCTTTCCACTCGAAAAGAGATAAAGTAAAATGATTTGTCAGTGCTGCCCACTTGTTTTATGTGTTTCATTAAAAACTTTGCATAGACTGTAGGAACAGATAACTATCACATCACCAAGGATCCTCCTTTCTAGTCATTCATTTTTTTCCGCTTGGCTTGTTAAAACATAGCGTTTAATTGGGTAACTGTGTGGCATTCACTTGCTTGTCGGCAAAATAAAAAAAGGTCCAGTAAAAGCAGCCATTCCAAAAGATACACAAAAGACATCTCTTTTTGAATTATGAATGGCCACCCACATAAGCTTAACCACTATTTTAAGACCTTAATGCTATAATAAAAGAAGGCTTACCTATGTGGAAAAAAATACAATAGTATCCTATGATGACAAAAATACCATTGCACTAGTATGCTGTGCAGTGAAGAGACTGCTGTAGAGGGGTTTCTCCTTAGTAAGATGTATCTTTGATAAAAGCATATGTAGTGCTTGCATTCAATAAACTTAATTTACCAGGAAAAAAGGTTAAAAATTCAGTTACAAAAATATACTTTTCATATCACATTCATTTATGCACTATTAGTAGATATATTGCAGATATATTAAATACATTTCTAAAACTTTTATTTGTTATTTTTAAATTTAAAAAAAATAAAATCTACGTTCACCGATATTCCATCTTTTCTAAACGTTTAATTGTACAGAAGAGCAAACAATCTCTCCGGCAAATACAAAGTGATGAACTGAAGAGAAATTCAAATTTACTAGGGTAGCCACTATAGCCATTTAGTTTAAATTTGATTTTATTTTTAAAATTAAAGTAAATCACTGGCTGGGTGAGACGACCTACTACTAAATCCAACAATTTTGAAATGGCATTTCCTTCAAATGAGGGAAATTTAATCACTGAATGTAATGTGAAGGCAAAGTTGCTGTGTACCACTATGGAATTATGTCTGAAACGAGGCAAGAGAGATTTTAAATTTACAATTCTCAGTATAAACTGCAAACTGACATTTATAAACCCAGCCAACAAAAATCTGATAAAACAAATGAAAATACTGCATAGCACATAAAGTCAGCCTACCTCAATAGTGAATTGCTTTCTCTTTAATTTAAAAGCAAGGTCCTTTGTGTCAGGAACTTCACACCTCAGGCAATTGAGATGAGGTATCTGCTTCACATGCAGCAGACCTTGTGGAGGCAATGGGAAATTAAGGACAAATCAGTAAGACTGTAGTGCCCAATGAGTAAACTTGACTTTTGAGGACTCTCTAAATTTTAAGTCCCTCAGCCCCCCCCCCCTCCAACCCTTTGTGAGCTAGAGTTCAACACTTGAAGCAATGAAGCAAATGTTGTGATTATGTTCAAGTAATGAAGCAGAACAAGATAAACAACAATTCTTGTAGAAGGAAAACTAATTGCGTTTGGGTACAGGAGTGGAGATATAAAAAGGGATCTCTTTACTTGTCACAACCGCTGCATGTTTGTGTGTTATTTTCTCTTGTATTTACTGTAAGCAAATATGGCTATCACCTTGCATGCTGCCCACAGCATTGCTGAGTGATCTTTATTTTATTAACTGCACCAGTGGGCAGCTACCAAAACACAGATCGCCGGGTAGAAAGTATAACTGAGGCAGTGATCACAGTGGTATAAGGACAAGCTAGAAATCTACCACTCTGTCTTAAATATGAAAAAGCTTTTAAAAAGCAACCTAGTGGTCTGTGAAAAAGAAAGGGGAAAAAACCCAAAGCAGATGTGTATTTGAAGAGGAGACCTGGATATGACTGTTGTCTGCTACTAAAGTATCCTGCCAGCTCTGTGCACCATGAGATTTAATCCAAGCTGATTTTTTCTGACAAGGAAGTTGGCATGTTTAATACAGACTAAGTACTATGGTAGAAAAAAAAGAAAACTTTACTGCATAAGAACCTCAAATCATATGTATTAAACACTAAGGATATTTTGATTTCATTTTGATTTTGATGCATGATAAACTAGAGAGTGTGTAAACAAATAAAAAAAGAAAATAGATACGTGTATTGTGGTAAAAAACTTAATACTGCAAGTCAAAACCCTCCAGTGTTATGCACGTAGATGGATAGAAATGTATAATAACTGCAAGGGGAGTGGTGAGGGAAAGAGACACAAAGCTACAAAAATCAATACATTATTTTTTTATTACCTATTGCATATTAATGAATTTATAATTAGGATTGTATTTACATTTTTAAGAACACATGAGAAGTTTCAAGGTCACTCTAAAAATGGTTAAATATGAAATAATATAAGTTGTGGAGTATGAACAAAATGTAATTGGATTTTAAAATATGGAAAAATATTTAAATTTATGTTACACACCCTTTCTTTCAAGAGAATATAAATGTTTTTTTTAAATCAAGGGCTAAAAATATCCATTGTGCTTTAAATGACCTTTATAATCTGCAACAAAAAGTAATGTGGCATGCAGTAGGGTCTATAGCAGTAAACAGACTTTTTACTTCATTCCCATCCTCTGAATAACTTTCTAGTTTAATACCTTTATCACTGTTAAATTTAAACAATATTGAGTTGTGCAGTTCAATATCATTACAATATTGATTTCCTGACATTTTTAGCCCACGGGCCAGATGAACACTAGGCGTCCTCGGCATCTGAATTCCCCAAAGCCCGTCTGCTAAGATGCACGTCTGATTGAGTCATGTCTCGCTAATCTGTCTTGACAACATGCGAGGAGTTGCCATGTTTCCTTCTTAGCCCTAATGCACTTTTTGTACAGGAACAGCCCAATCCACTGCTGAATGGCCGGAGAGGGAGGGGAAAGCAGAAAAAAGGTGGTGGAGGGGAAGCATTTAAAAAAATGCAGATCCTGAAACTAAATCAATTACAACACAACTTTTTTTTTCCTGGAAGACAAACCAATTAGAGGTCAGCAGAGGAGTACCCAAAATCCAGAGCAGGCAACCGCTTTGTGTTTGAGGAGAGTCGCAAACTTACCGTGATATTCCTTGTACAGTGGGTTGGTTTCCCTCTTGGAGCCTCTGAATGATTCAAGACTGATCACCGTGTCGCACAGCTTCGTTACACGACTCATAATTGCTTTGTTCTGTAAAACATGGAAGGGAAAATGCATGCTTAAGTAGAACACCAGTAATTAAAATACTCCTAAAATCGCATCTCTGGGCTGTCAGCAATAAAATTAAATGAGGTCACCATTATCTGAGCATTAGGCGTGAAGTGGGGAAAAAAAAGAACACCCACAGTAAAACAACTTTGTGATACCACAGCCAAAAACAACAAGGTGCAAAAATTATATACATGTTTCTAAGTGTGCATTTGGCACAACACTGAGTAATTAATTTTCTGGTCACATAATTTGAACAAATAAAATCAAATTGGTACTAGAATCAGTGAGGCTTTCCTATGGTTCACCCTCTCCTTGGTTCAGACATGAGGAACTGCACATTTTGTCAGTCATAAAAGAGGATCTAATCTTGTGCACAGTGAAGATTAGTTCACTTAATGAACAGGTCCAATACATGCATGTCCATCAACCGCTGTTTCTTAACTTGTGGCTGCAGCCTGATCAAGAGCATCACAGTTAAGCAGAACCTGCGTATTTGGCAAGGGTGGCCCAGAAACAAATCTATTTACAAAGCTGGCTTCAGATGGCCTCTGTGTCTTCATAGCACATAATAAATCTTTTTTTCTGTAGTAAACAAGAATATTATTTGTTATTATGCGGTTCTGCATATATTCATCATCTTTGTTAGGTGTTCAGATGAAACATTCACCAGTACTCAGGCCTGTAAAACTTACACATTGTCTTACTCCTCTTTTGAAAAATAACACCAACTCATGAGTGTGCTGTTAAATGTATGTAAGGCACACACTGTAAATACACAAGCCAGCAAATGTGCGTTAGATTTGTGAATCTGGGGAAGAACTTCATAGAGATACAAGATCAGATTCAAAATAGTAAGATAAACTACATTTCAACATGAGCATTCCACTGTTGATGCTGCTAGAGATTTAAATCTACTTAGCCTAATCCTGTAGTACAGTGAAAATTACAGGCTGTCAGGAGGAGCAGACAGGCAGACCCAGGTCCAGATGGAAGACTGGCTGGGAAAGAAGAGAGGCAGGTGGGAAAGTGATGGGATCAAAGTGGAAGACAGAAGAGTACTCCCTCTGCTGGCTAGGCTCTCACCTGCTTTACTTTTAACACATGACTAACTTCCCTGCATTATTTATCAGCTGGGTTTTAAATATTTCACATGTCTCTTTCTATGTTTGTTGCAGCACCCTTATACAATTTTCATAGTGAAATGTTTTTGTCCTACTTTTATACATGAATATGCCTTCAGTCAAGCTCTGTTTTTTATTAAAGAACACCTCAGGCATCTTTGTCTATGTACACCAAATTCTGAATTTTGCCTTTATTTATTCCTGCCCCAGCACCGCTTAGCACATGGCACAGGTTGAGTAGAGCATCGAGTGTGATCAAGGTTCAAAGGAGGAAAACAACCTTAAGACACGAAGAGATTAAACATATTTGGTGATAAAGAGTCTTGCTTTTAAAAACGACTGTGAATAATTCAAAAGAAAAGTGAAACGAAGTAAAACCAGATCAGTTGAACTTATCCTGCAGTCTATATTTCAGATCAATTAACTAAATATCAAAGAAAATGACATTTTTCATATAAAGTATGAATTAAACATCTTGGGGAATACAGAAGACACTAAAGCACTGTTTATATTAAAAACATCAACCTGGGATAAACCTATATATGCTGTAGCATATTAAGAAAATCTCAAAGGATTAAAATGATTCCGTTTTTGCTCGTAGCATTCTCATAACTGTTTAAATTGGTGGTGCCTTCTGCTTTAGAAAGTAAGCAGACTTCTGTTACTAGGTTTTTGGCCGGTAACCAGCATCTCCCAGAGCAGGATGGATCAGCTCTTTTCCCCCACTGTTCTCATCTAAAACCTGGCCGCAAAGCAACTCCAGCTCCAAGCTTTCCAGAAGGCTCCATCCCAGGAACCCTCGACTGCCATTTGGTTTGCGGTTTTTAAATCTCGCAGGACTTCTTTGCAGTGGGCTCAACTATGCTGAAGAGGCACTTGCTTCATGAGTGAGTTATTATTAAACTTTAAGGTCAATTGTGGCACTAACATCTCTGTGGAAGCTTTCAACACACAGTGCGGTTTGTCGGACTAATTAAAAATTAATAGAAGGCAGTACATTTATGGTACAGTGCTTTTAATTCTTCATTGTCTTCAACGGGGAAAGAGTTAAAATTTATTCATTTATTTTTTGTTATCAAATTAGCACACAAAACTGCATCTATTTTTCAATTAAGCTTTGGTTTACGACTGAATTTGAAAAAGGAATATTGTTTCTGATGAAAATACATAGAAAGTCTGGTAAACACTTAATGCACAGGTTTTGAGATTTCTCAATCTACATTTTTTTTTATCCCAGGCTCTGTTGCTCTTTCGTTTACAGACAAAAGCTAATTGAATATATAAGAAACCATTTAAAAATGATTGCCATTTCATATGCCGTTCATCTCCACGAGGATATTAAAATTCAGGTTTTGCTAATTAAAGGGGTTTATCGTATGAGCAAGAATTGAAGTGCTAAGACATAAACAGGCATCTGTTTTTAACAACGTCATAATTTTCTCAGAATGGGGTGAATACAGGGGATCCCTGCCTTCTGCTTATAGAACAGTTGTGCCTATGTTTGGACTCTGGGCTGTCCACAGACTGCCTCCTCCAGTAGCCAAAGCTTCCATATGCCTTAACAGATGACTCTACCTCCACACTGTGAGGAGAGCTCTCACTGACCCCGCACCAGAATGGGGGCCTCAGACGAGGAAAATAGAGAGAGAAGGCCTGCAGTATGGGGGCAGCTCACACTTACAGAAATAAAAAAAGAGCATAGAATGGTGATTGAAGCTGCTGGGCATCTTTGATGTACCGAGGAGTTATTATAATAATAATAATAATAATAATAATAATAATAATAATAATAATAATAATAATCAGATGTATTGGTCCATGAAATGTGAAACACCCAGAGAAATCACCATTGATACCTGAATAACATTCAGAATAAACAAAAAAGAAAGTCAGCAAGTGATTAAACAAGAGAAAAGGGCAATTAACATGCATGCTGAATCAGCACCATTGAAATAGGTAGCACATAATGCTGTATTGAACAACTCAGTTAAACCAGATTAAATATTCAGCTTATGGACAGTCAGCTATGCCATCCTCAATTGTAAACTGAAAATAGACTGCTCTCTCCAAAAGGATAACATGCACAGAAAACCCCACAGCTTACATTTAGTGGCATTTCCTTGGTCTATCATTAAGTGGCCTCAGTCTGACTCCAAACAAACTAAATTGCCAGGACTTAAAAGCAGATCTGAATTCACTTGATTTATTTTCTGTGGAGTGCAGAGTAATTAGGGAGAGTTAATGATCAATTGTCAACAGTGCTCACAAGTGCATGAAACAAATTAAAAATATATTCTTTAAAATACCTTTTCACATACAGTCCTTTTTAGTGGATAGTCTGAGCACCAGTACATTAATATTGCAAGCGATTTAATATTTAAACATATCAAATAGAATAACTAAAATAACACATTGAATGGAAACTCATTAGCCCTCATGAGAAATACTTACATAAGCTTTATTCGTACCGTCTTTTCATTAGACAAATAATTTCCCAAAGGCATATATTCACAATGGCTGCTAACAGAAGCCCAATGATGTTATTTTTTTAAAGATGCTCTGTTTGTGAAGCTATGTGAATTATGAAGTTGTGCTTGCTCCTGCTGTACTGGTTAATAATGGTTAGGAGTTCATAATAAACTCCTTTCTTGCAAGAGAAGAATTCCCATTTGAATCTGTGTCATGAAAAACAGACAACATAATTCTCGTAAAAAGGATTAAAAGATCTAAGATAGTTAAAAGGGCTAAAAAGGTGGGATAAAAAAAATCAGATTGCATGCAATGATAATTAAACACCAAACAAGAGAACCGTTCTCAGAAGTGCTACATAATATTATGAATGTTTCCCAACTCCCCTTTCAGTTATTGCTTCTTTTGATCTGCATAAATCCTCCCCCCCTCAAAAAAAAAAAAAAAACAAGAGTTGTTTAACAATGTGAACAGCTGCTGTCATTAAATGTACAGGTCCGTCCTCTGAGCCCACATGCCCGGTTGTCCTCTCATTTTGCCATCCTCTCCAATTAACTATTAACATGGAGGGCTTTACAGAGGCTCTGGGGGACTCTTTAACAGGCTTCTTGGCGAGTGGAACAACTGCACAGCAGGGGCCCTGGGAAAAGTGTAACACAGGCCGCCGGAAAAGCCCTCCACAGCTCAGCTCAGCAACTCTTAATGACAGTTCACTCGGCAGTCTTCTCTTGAACTGCTGCGGCTTGAAGTTTAACCATTTTTTTTTAATGGATTTACTGGAACATATTCTGCAGTTTGGCAGGGAGAGCGGCTTGCTGCATGGAAGAGGAGTCTTTGGAGGCACAATGGGAAGGAAGTGATGGCCGCACCGCTTATTAAAAATGTAAACCGTTTTGACTGCGGACAACGCTCGCGTTTTCTTAGGCCTCACGGGCTCCTGGCTGGCTGACTCAAAATGAGGTCACACTAAAAAGATAACCAACATGGAGTCTGAAGGGCTGCATCTGTTCCTCTGATATGGATTAAAATAAAATCAGAATTTGAGAGTTTATGCACATATTAAATCCAGTATACTTTAAACAGCGTCTCCTTTCATATGCGGCAACAACTGTATTTGTCCCTAAAGGTCACATAATTCAGCATAATCTGCAAGGCTAAGCAAAGATAAACTAAGAAGGACTTTCATTTCAATCCTTTAATAAGCGGTCATTAACAGCCTTGCTTGAAGTAAAATCTGAAAATGGCTACAATAAGACGCTTAGTCAAAACACTTATTTTCAGGCAAGCTCAATTGGGTGTACGTCAGGCAGCCCAATTTAATTTAATTTAACAATAAATTAATAAAATAATAAATAATCAGCTCATGATGGTCAATATCATGAATTAATTGCGCCTCATTAAGTTACATGCCAAATATCATTAGCAGAAATCGCTCCCTCAGTAGCTTTCAGGCTACCAGAATGTATTCAATTTTTGAGGTTTTTCCACTCCAGAGTTCAATCCAGTATTCTTGTTCTACGAAACTTTCCCATCAATGTCCCTTTGGCCTTTTCTTCATTATGGACGGTACATTTGTAAAGTTTTATGATGCATACATTTTACATCTAATAGATGTTTACATATATTTAATGCAGATAAAGAGCATTTAACAATTAACAAAATATTCAACTAATTAATTGCTCCCCAAACCTCATAGTTTTTCATAGCCTATAGTTGTTTCCCCATGGTTGTTTTTACAATTCTATTCCATTTAGCCTTTCCATGATAATGAAAACAGTACTAATTGAATAGCTCACCTGGATGAGGTGTGAAGGCACTGTCACCATGCAAACTGAGAGCGATCCTCTGAGGAGGGCACGGAGGCTATACAGGAATGTCGTAAGACTATGGGCATAGTGTGGGCTCTCCTTATAACAGATGTCATCACCCCAAAGGGCTGAGCCAAGTGAATGGATTCCTATCCTAAGAATGCTTCTTGGCTTGTTCTATTAAAAAGAAAAAAAAAGATGAATGCATAAAGGTTTTTCTTCAAAAAAAATGCTTGCTGATCATGAGAAAGTACCTAACAGACCAACAAAGAAATACGCTAAATTATCTTATATCTTTTATTATATATCTACTGGTGATTCTTTTTTATTCATATACTGATGCACAATGAAAATACAACTGATTTGCGGCATTGGTCTCATACACAATGCAGAAAACTTCGGCAAAACATAAAAGAGAGACCAAGTAAAGTGACTCTGTATTGTGATTGAACTATTTCAGTAAGATATGATTTTAATTAAGGAAGAATAGAAAAAGATTGGGCTATGCCCCATCTGGATTATGAAGATCATCTGAATACAGCCTGTCAGTGAGAGTAACTGCCTGGAGAATAAAATATTGTGGTTTAGCAACATCTAAGAGAAACCAGGCAAGGACAGGCCTGGATCCTGCTCCAGGAGAACAATCACAAAAATGCTAGGATTATACTGGCACGACTCAGAGAAAATAAGGTTGAGATCTCACTGTGGCCATCTTCTTCTACTGCCCTGACTCCAATACAATAGATTTGGGACAAGCTCATCACTGCCATCAACCGGAGACAATTGCAACCAGCCAACCTTTGCCAGCTTGTCAATGCTGTATAGGACAAATAGTAGAGCATCCCACAGCAGTCTATTCAGAGGCTGATCAGGTCTGTGAGTCAGCACTGCCAGGATTGGGTTAATGCTTCCGGAGGTCATACCCAATACTATCTGTGTACATTTTAATTTTGACAGTGTGTCATGTTTCATACATAAAACGTACTCTAATTTAATCTTTGGTTTGGATTTTTGGCTCACATTTCTTGTATTTTTATTTGATAGTTACATTTAACATATTTTATTTAATCCATTTGACTTGTATGTCTTTTGTTTTGTGCATCAGTATATTTTCTGAAACAAAATAAATACATCTTGAGTGAACATTTCTAATACTAGGCATGTTGATTCAAAATGTCGTTTGGGGTACATTTTAGAGTTCATACACTTACAAAGTATTACAAAAACATAATGACAGTGCTCATTCATATAGTTGCAGAATACCACAGTTACATTTTTTATTAAACAATTGTTAAATGAAGGAGCCACTGGACAGGGTGACAATAAGATTTTGAAAAGCTGTCTAGACTTCCTTTCACAATGTCTGATGACTTACAAAAGCAGGTTGCATATTTGGCACATCAACAAGGCTAGGCGGCTGAACAGCCTTATTAAGAGCTACACTCTTGCAAAAGACGACAAAACAAGTGATGAAGTGCCAAGACAAGATCGCTCTGCTAAGCCTCCAACTACTTCAGGCCAAAAGTTTCTTGTGGTATTACAGTCAATTCTTCCTATGAAGGAGATCGATACTTCCACTTCCACACTTCAAGTTCATGCTTAAACTTGCTACATAGAAATTCCAATATCACTTAACTGAAGTACATATCAATGCTTTAAAAAGAAGGTTAGAATTTGTAACAGAACACTGGCCAGTATGTCATTTAGCCTAGAAAAAGTTTCCATGCTGTTGAACATTTAGTTCATTCTGATTATTGTTCACTGAAAACAGAAAAAGAAGACTTTGATTAAAATAAAATGTCTTTGCTTTATATAATTTGAAAATTAAATAAGCAAACAAATACTAAGAGGCATTAAAAGCGCAATATATTCAGTCTATTGGAGCCAACAGCGTTTCCTCCAGTTGTAATGTCTGTCTGTATATATTATGTTCTGATATAAGATGCAGAATCCCCACTATACAAACAGCAAACATCTCATTCCAGGACATTCAGATAATATAAAGGTTAAGAAGATTATTATGTTCATATTTAATCAGGCTTTAAAATAAAGACTTTTCAAAGCAATTTATTAAACTTGTGTTTGAGAATAAACTTGGTCCACTACAGAATTGAGAGTGAATCACTGTATTGAATTGAGGACATTCAATGTTCTGTAAATTGAACCATCAGGATTCTGGAAGCCACTTAAATTGGCTGCACCTGTTAAAGACTGTTCTAAGTGGCATCATTGGCACCTTATTCACAATCTCAGCTCTGATGGAGGAAAGTGATTGAGGAAAAGAAAATGAAAAGCTCTCCCTGAAAACTACTACTGCAGAAGAAGCTATTAAGGTGGTGATAGGTTCACAGTAACATATGTTCCTGTCCATACAGAATCTTTGACAGCTTAACTTTTTGTCAGGCTGACCTTCAGCTAAAACACAAGCTAAATCCTTTAGGGTACCTCTGACAACTATTTATTTTAACCAAAACTGGAGAGTGCTCTCCAAAGCTATTTTTGCTTTATAGTCAAGCAATTTAGTTTTGTCATCATGGATGTTAATATGAATAAGTATAATATAATAGGTTTTATTTCATATTCTTCAGAGATTAAAAGACTGCCTCTCAAACTTGCTCACTGATCTTTATCGATTACGTGAGAATGTTGACAGCAGCAGAATAAGTTCTGAAGGTACATTTTATCTGTACCATTTTATCTGAAGAAAATGCTGTCATATTTATTGGCCAGTGCTTCCTTCATGCAGCATGACAATGACTCAAACCATACAGCCAAGGAGTTCATCAGGGAAATAAAGTGTAAAATCTTTTGGCTAACTCAATCTCCAGATTTAAATCCAATTGAGCATGCATTTTACATGCTGAAGAAAAAAAGGAAGTAAGAAATCACAAGAACAGGCAAGAACTCAATGAGACTGAACAAATGTTTACCAAATCAGCTCAAATACGCAGTTTGGTGGGTCACAGCCATCAAGCAGTAATTGCATCCAAGAGAAATAACATCAGATATAAACATTTATCCCCTGATGTTAAAAGTCCCTACACTTAGTCACTTGATATCATTGGATTGAACACAATGTATGTTTTGTTCTAATATGGTTGTGTAAACATGGCATTACTGAAAAACAAAACAAGTTGTACTTATTCATACTAATTTCATGATTACAAATTCAAATTGCTTGACTATAAGGCAAAAATATACGTATTGATTTTGCTATCTCAATACACTTGGAGGGCAATTCATTTTGGATTTGGAAAGCTGAAGCACAAATTCAAAATCGAACACAAGCATCTAAGAAAAATAAACCGTATTGTTGTGCTCCGTTCCAGCAATCACTGTGTTGGCTGAAAAGGTTCCCAGGGTGTGGGTGTCACTTCGCTGCATTCGCTTTCTGCTTTCTGTAAGATTTCCTGCTTTCAGAGGAGCTGTCATCGTGCTGGAGGAGTTTCTGGGCGCACGATACTGTGGGAACTGTTATGACATGCCTGTTGCCATGGCTACCACAAGGAAGGGGGAGAGGTGCCTGTCAGGGACCAATTTACTTCTCCAGAGGGGCATCCTCACGGCAGGGATGACAAGTCTGCCCGGATCTGTACCGAAGCCTCACCAAAGGCTGGGAGCTCAGCAATAAGGACCTGGGGTTGGACACAGCTAACCCCAAAAAGCTCCAAAACCTTCTCCTAAAAAAGCCAGAAATCGACTTCTGCAGAAGCCTGTACAAATAATATGTACGGCATAATATGTATTACGATGCACATAATATATATTGCAAGATTTGCATTGATATTGTGTCAAATTACAAAAATAAGATTTATAATACTGATACTAGCATTGGTAAGATAAATCTAAGGACTTGGTGAAGAACTTCAAATCAACTTGTCTATCAGAAATCTTAGCTTTGTACTTATTAGTAGGTTTACTTGATGGGGCAGTCATAAGTATCTGACACAAAATGTAATGGTTTGTGTTTTGATTTTAGAAAAAGCACTGAAGTCCTGATATAATCTTATCATAGGTTACACTGAACCTATAAACTTTGCTTAATAGCAGCATTGTGATTTCTATAGTGTGATTCCTAGGGCAAATAACTTATTGCCTTCTATATCACTTTAACCTCCAATTGTTAATTTACCGGTACTGTGTGATGAACCATGTACTTATACATTTTTATACATGAAAATGATGTAATCTGTGCCCAAGTGATGTATTATCCATGAAGGATACAAAAACATTTTATGTAAGAAAAAAATAAATTATTTTCTCATTAAGAACAGAGGTATAAGATATTAAACTTGGGGAGAAAGATAATTTTTTGGACGAAAAAGAGCTACTATTATTAGTCACCATTGCAAAATAAAAGTGTCAAATAATATTCAGGCTGATGGTAAAATGTAGGAAAAAAATATTGTTCAGATGATAGCTATCAGCTTTATAGAGCTGTCCCTCACCTCTTATGTTAAATCATCATGTCAAACTACTGTAGACCCAGGAAGATTTGAAATGATAAAAGAGTAAAACACAAGTCAGAACTGAGAGTTAAGGGGAAAAAAAACTTTTTGGTGAGTCAGTTTTCATTAGTTTAACATTTTCAAAAGCAAAAAACAAGATAAGAAGAAATCTTATTAAAAAGTTTTTGAAAGAGTAATGTCAACACAATTCTTTTTCAAACTCTGGGAAAGGCACATGTCTTTCAGGCTATATAAGACATGATAAAATATTAATTGTCAAAAGAACAACATCAGTTCCTTATAAGCTGATAATGACAGCTTAAAGAGTTTGCCAGGTGTACAGCTGTGGATTTTGGAATAACATCATAAAATAACATGTCACACAAACTTCATAGGGGTGTACTGATGTAGTTTCGCGTTTCTTTCTTCCTATCATGCACGTGTTTTCTAATTGGTAGCTACTAAGTTGCTTACTCAGTTTTAAATGTTGAAGTTTCACTCTGTTAGATGTTAATTACAGTCACATACAGTATATACCTCATCATTAGGCAATATAAACCTAGTACATCTCTACCTCTTTAAATCCATTTTATCCCTCTTCAACAGAAGATATTTAACTAAGATCTGCAGTGTTCCCAGAGACAACAGTGACAGACTCCGAGAACAAGTTAATGAGAATTAACATATTGCCTGCACTATGTCTTTGCACTGCTTGTTTACTTCGGCAGTGCTTAGAAACAGCTTGTTCACTGTTGATTATTCTAAACCCTCATGGTTCAAGCCCTCCCCAGGGTGTTATGAAAACAACATTAGTTACTTGATTACAGAAAAGGCTGAGGGCTGGCTCTCCATACCTGGAGACAGGCTCCATCAAATCCTTCCCTGTGAATGACTCCCTGGATGGATCTCAACAGCTTGGTATAGCCAATGTTCATACGGCTAGAGATACACAGAGAGAAAAAAAGATTAATGTGAAGTAGCAGATGTAAAAACAGGCTTTAGAGCCAATTCAGTCATGGAAGTGTTGTCTTGTCATAGTAAACACTGCTTTTCCTGCGGGGAAACAAAGTTTTTTATATACCACATATAAAAAAAAAACATGGCAAGACAGGTACATTTCTGGGATCTCATGGAAATCCAAATTAATTCAGGGACATTATACAGTCAGCCCTGAATGGAAGATTTGGAAAATACCATAGACAATTTTAAGGAAATGATCCATCAGTCATTGCGTAATGATGCTATACTCTCTACCTGTTTGATATAAACACACAAATTAATACCTACCGATTATTATATACACTACATAACTTTCTCTATAGGTCAAGTATTCTTTGTTGTGATGCACATCACGTGTTTTAGTGATAAAAATTCAGATCTGAGGCGTCTAAGAACACAAGCAAAGAGAATGATACACCGAGTCAGTGTTTGGGAATGGTGACACTGTGTTCATTTACTAATACTGAATCCACACTTGAGTGTAGCATTACTTACACAGTAGTAGCTTTAAACCTGTTATTTAAAGTACAGAGCTCTCACAACATGAGTGCTGTGAGGGAAAAGGATAATTTAAAACTCCCTGCTTTTGATAATCAAAATTAGGATTTATCTTCAGAATCGTATGGAACGTCTTTTATTAATTCTTAACCTGTTAACATAGAATGTGCTGAAATACATTATAGGTTTACATAGAATGTATATTATGTATGTGTGCTGGGCACAGCTCTTACTAATATATTTTAGAACCAGCTCACAAAGTGCCTTCCTCCATACCCTGAAGAGTTAACGGAAAAATATTGATAACTCAAATTAACAAATCAATTTAAAAACATCAGACGTCAGCTGTGATTGTCTGAGATTAAGTCCCTTTGGGCCCTGACACTCAATGAAAAGCAAATTCTGCTGAGACTGAGATGGTTTCATTATGTCAGCCTCACTTAACTCCAGGAAAATTAATGATTTAATGAAGCAACTTAAAGGGTGCCACCACCACAGCATTTCTGCGTAAGATCACAGATAATTAACACACAGTTAATGAACTGCTACGCCAGGCACACCTGATCAATGTTCCTTTCACCTTAGCTCATCTTGTCTCAACTCAGCCTTTTTCCATTTCACAAAACATCCTGCAGCCAAAAAAGTTATTCCCTCTTACCTGAAGAGATTTGTCTGCAAGACAAACAACTGTCCTGGGGCTATTTATCTTTTTACTAAAAACATTAGATTCTTTTCTCGTGTTAAATTTCTCTTATATATATATATTCTATTCTAAACTCTCCTATACACTCTTATTCTGGTTTCTAAAGCACAACTGGAAGCCCGGTCACAGGTAAAAGAAAAGTGAATTTTAGTGCTTGCTCTTGCATGACACACAAGATTTTATTTACAAATTCTGCAAATCATAAAGCTTTTAATATTTACTTCACTTTTATAGGTCTACTTCTTAGCAAACTTCTGTCTACAGAAGATTTCCAGTTACTACATTCTGTTGAATTATAAAGCCAGATATAATTATTAAAACAATATTAGGGAGTGGTAAGGTGTTAAACTGATTTTAAACCTACTTGATAATTCCATACAATAAACTGAATTAACCATAATAGCTCCCATTTGTACAAGTGTCTCAACTATTCTCACAGGCCAAAACTTTAGGACCCTTCTCAGAATGATGTGTTTATCCTCTGCCGAGCAGCTAAAATACTAATTGAACAGAAAATTGTATGTTTCGCAAGGATTTTAATAATAATCATCATCACTACAATTATACAGCACATGTCTGGAAACTCCACTCAAAGTGCTTTACAGGTGCAGGAGTTTACAGAACTCCCTTCTACCTCAAATGTCTAACTCCCACCTGGATGAAGTGCACCAATACTCTCACCACACTTCATCTACCAGTGGGGAGGAGAGAAGAGTGACGAAGCCAGTTCATTGATGGGGATTATAAGAAGGCCATTATTGGTAAAGGCCATGGGAAATGTGGCCATGACACTATGACTCCCCTACTCTTTCCAAGAAATGCTCTGGGTATTTTTAATGACCACGGAGAGTCAGGACCTCTCTTACATCTCACTTGAAGGACATCATCTTTGGTATGGCATAGCTTCCCCATGACCATACTAGGGCATTAGGACCCACACAGACCACAGGGTGAGCACTCCTAGCTTTCCCAGGAGGTCTTCCATCCAGGTACTGACCTCGATCACACCAGCTGAGCTCCGGTGGGTTGTCAATCGTTAGCGCAGGGTGAAATGACTGATAGCAATACTGTATTGTCACTCAATCCCATTCCATTCTTTTAAAGGACCTGCCCACAGCTGAGGTTGTAATGAGTGTAATGGCTGGTGGGGCTGAGCTCAGTGTTCTACTGTTTCTACTCATCTTCACCAGGACTGGGATCTAGGGTTTGGATTCAGGCCAGGGGAGATCATGAATGTCCTTCTTGTACTTGTTAAGCCTTTGGCTGGTGAGTGTACGAGTACTGCTGAGAAAATCTCAGTGTTAACCGATGAAGCCACATCAAGATACTGTACCAACCTGAAGTATGTTAATGATTAAAACAAGTTCTCAGCTGAGAACAAAAACAAGGTTCTCTTGTCTTGTCCTAATCCTGATGTCATCTCTCCAGACTCATTTCCATCACAGCTCAGGACACCTCTGAAGGGTCAGTGCTGGAGCTCACTATTGTGTCCAGCCATCACACTGGACAACATGTCAAAATACTACTGCATCACTTCTTCACCATTGCATGACTACATGGGTAAATGTAAATATATTGAATTTGGCCCACAAATTAGTTATGCTCTTCTGTTAGGGGGATACAGAAGACTTGCTTAGCTCCCCCCTTCAATAGGAGTTCTCCTGACGCTACTCTTCGTCATATACCTCACAATGTAGGATTTGTAGTTTAAGAAAAATAAACCAGCTGGAGGAAAACAATGGCAGTTCTGCTGTACTTGAAAAGCCTCACTAGCCTTATTTATTTTGGACCATTTTCCACGTTTTTATTTTGAATGTTCCATTACAAAGTGGAGCAGTCTCAATGCACTTCATTAAGCTTCGTTCCGGCAGATTTACGAGAAACAAAGATATCACTAGCTGTTCATCCCGAAAAAAAAAAGAAGAAATTGACATGAAAGTCAGGCCATTTCGCAACAGTTCATCTAATAATGAGAGCAGAGATAATACCAATCGAGGCAAGAAAGAGTTTCTGTATATAGAAACCTATTTGTAGGAAGAACGAAAGACTAAGGCTTTTGTTTTCCCATCATAAAATGATGTTCACTTCCAAACAACCTACTGCCACTATAAAGCAAAGTATCTAAGGTGACTACTGCAGTTCTTATTTAGAACTGTTTACATAATCTCAATGTAATTTTTAAAAATCACACTCAAATGTTCTTTAGACATTAAGATTCATCATATTTTTCAAATATAAGTATGACTAATTCACTCCCTCCATATTAAATAGACTTTTAAACCAGCTATGTTTTTACTAAAACATTTACAGCAGTGTACAAATGCTTTTTATAGTACCTATATAGAGTATAAACAATATTAAAGCCTAGGCTCACCTCAACAATCGGAATAATCAAAAAACAAAAAAACTGGCAGCCAAATCCATCTTTACAATCAGTATTAGATAAAGAGCTCCTCTCATTTGCTAGTTTTTTTCTTCACCTGGAAACACATCTCCAGACGCAATAAGTAAGGGATACAAATTTAAATATGATTAAGATACTTAAGAACTTGGCACTAGATTTGCTTTAATCGGGTTTTACTCACAAGAATAAAGGAGCATTCTAAAAAGGTAACTCTTAATGTCATCCAGGTACTACAGCAAAATACATTTATTAAGGAACTCCAATGTGTGAAAACTGTTAACACCAATAAACTGAGGAAAGGGGGCTAGTAATTAAGTATTTGAGACACAGATATTAAGTATTAGTTTTGCTGAACCAAATACAATTTATTCCATTTCAGCAAAATTCATTTTCATATTCTTTGAATTCTATGTAAAAAGCAAGCATTTCACACTGTTGCCATTGTGTTTAATATATTGTATCATGCCCATCCCACTGAGCTTATTTCTTATAGATAATGACAAGATGTAGGTGATAATCCATGTGAGCAAATGTGTTAGCTAATTAAGATTATACCCAGAGAAGTGCCTAAGTACAGTACTGCTCTGCAAGACATTCCTTCCATTGTAAAAGTAGCTCCATTTAAACAACAGGGTCCATATCACCTAGCGGGTAATTTATACCAATTACACCATATCATAAAATAGCCCAATTTAATAGTCAGAAAGTCAACATGGGGCATTTTACATGTGTAAGACAAAACAGTTAAAGGATTAATTTTTAGTCAATGAGCTGTCATTTTGTCTCACTGATGAGTTTTCCCTTCAGAGGATATTATAGTTGTCAGAAATGTAGTGCTGTCTATAATTTAGTGAAAGATAAGTCCCTAAAATCCACAAAAGCTTAATGACAATTGCACAGTATTTCTTAAGAGAGATTTCCTTTCTTTATTTATTACTTTGTACAGCATTTCTGCTGCCAAAGATCAAAACCTAATTGAATGGTAATTACATTACTTCTGAATTATAAGTCAAAAGAACTATTTTTTCTCCTTAACAAAGTGCCAGTAATTTTTATTTTTTTACCACTTTAATCTGAAACTGCTAATTGCTAATCAAACTGCCTACGCTACAATTGTAGTAGCTGGACCATCCACATCTCCCATCAAAATGTTCACCAGAGCTGTTTATCACACACTAAGGCCTACAGGCCCAAAGCAGAGATAGCATCGACTGGAATAGCAATACAGTTCTCAATGACACAATTGCAAGATCATGGCACTGTCTGTCCTGTGGCAACTCAAAGGATAGTTGGCCAAGTTTAGCTATCTTACCTGGCCTCAGGACCTAGAGCACCACTTGTGCACTGTTGCATAAGGTATCCTGATGACAGCCCACAGAAAGCATAGCCTAAGAGACAAACTAATGGACTATGGCATTTAGCCTTTGCTCCAAACAAGAGCCTTTTAATGGCTGAGCCATTGGGGAGCTCCTTTTTCAAATGGCCACCATATGCACAATATACTTATAAGATGTCCATGATACATTAGGTAAAAAGTAACCTACACAGCCTTATTTTTTAGCTTTATTTTTTTAGGTTTGTCAAGATTTTTGTGATACCCAACTTGTCTGTATGAGTCCACTGTTTTTCACATCTCAGCTTGCAGCTACCAACCCAGATAACCCTACATGGGAGCGTGAGGAAGTGTAGGCGGACTCCTCCAGCTCAGCCACCTCTGGTCCCTTCGCCTATTAACACATCATAGGCACAGCTCCCCAGCACAGGCTCAGCAGGGGTCGTGTACCCCATGCCGTGGGGCCTGGGAGGTTGCAGGGGTCGACTGGTTGCTGCCAGCCGTGTGAGCCCTGGTCGACTAATCCTGATCCGGCTCATTGTGTGCCACTATCTGGGAAAGCCCAGTCACAGACAGCAAGTGGCAAGAACCAGGCTCGATCTCGCAGTCGCAAAGCTCAGCCGACGTGCATCACATTGGGTGAGCAAGTGGCTTTCTTCATTTTGCCCTACGGAGATCACTAATAAGATAGGTTCAGCATCAGAGTAATACTTTTTTTTCCCCCACTAAGAGATGGAAATGGATATAAATTCTTGTATATATGTAAATATAATATTAAGAAAGCGCAGAGGAACTCTCAACACTTCATAATTCTCATTGAAATGGGACATATAATATGATCCTCATTTCTTTTACTGTGGCAATGGAGGAGTTTAAAACATGCTACTTTCTATGACTCATTCAGCACAAGTTAATCTTCCTTTTTACTGCACAAACATTGACTTATGGGTTAGCAACCTATTCTAAAATCCTAATGGCTTGTATATATAAATTGTTAAAAGAGTATTTACTGAAATAAAACTGGGAGCTTCATAAAACTCCCTTCTCTATGCAAAACTGACCAGATTGATTTGTTTGCCATGTAGCTCAAAAGCCTTCCTAATGTAAAGAGCAGGTCCGACCTTTGATCGTGAAAGACACGAAAAACCATAAAACCTAAAAGCAAACATCTTTTATTTGCACAAATTCGCAAAGCTTTTAACAAGCCAATTTACGTTCTTGGAAAATTGAAATATATTTTAAACGCAAAAGCATAAAGTTGTTTTTTTTTCAATCTTTATTAGCAGAGCAGATGCTATAAAACAACAAATTATCCTGTCCATTACTAATCACTCACCGTTTATAGGAAATGTTCCAGCCTCATTTCGAGTCAACCACATGTTCGCATAAAATACAGTTTAAGATTAAATCTAGTGTTGGACTTAACCTACATGTATTTTCTGGCTTACCATCAGAAAAACTGCGGTAAGACCAGCAAATACATTTTAATAAACCACTACCCAGGAATAATATCTCAATACAGTATTTTATAGGTACTTAATATACATATTGTAAGAGATGCATTTTCTGTAAAATGATGTTGATAACCCTACCTTATATCTTCAGGGGATTCTAAAGGCAGTTCAGAAGGAAGGAAAAACAAATCACATCTAGCAGCCTGTCTCATCTCTGAGTTCATTGACTTGGACACATCAAAATAGTGGCCAAATCTTGTTGAAGATGCCAGTGTTGTCTGCAAGGAATCACAAAAATATTTCAAGGCTTTTGTGCGCAATGATGGCTGGACAAATAAAGCATACTAAAGAATCAAATAGGTTTTTAATTAACATAGAAAAGACAGCTGCCCACTGCTGCCTTAAGGTTCACAGCTAAATACTGTAAGGGAATATGCACATAGACGTCTAATGTTGCTGCTAATTGCCTAGTAAATAATAACCTCTTCATGGAACTTTTGAAGTTTTTAGGTGCAAAAATAAAGATTACTTTCAAGTATGCATTTAATCTGATAGTTCTTTTTTGATACATACTGTATGTTTTTTTTACATTTGAGCATGTAAGTTTCATAGCCGTCATTAGTCCCATTATAGAAAAGGAAAGTGAGGACTTTATACATCAAGACATTAGGAAAGGTGGCATTCCAAGGAAACTTTACATGTTAATGAGTGTATCTCCAAGACTTCACGCTGTTCAAGGTGACTTTAGACAGCTTATAATGGACTTAAAAATCTTATATATTATATTTTATTAAATAAACATTTTATTCAAACTAAACTAAGATGCTTAATAATTTCCATTTCCACCATAAATACAGTCACATACTGATTTTTTGTTTCATGGTGCTATGCAAAATAAACCAGGAAAGGTATGTGGGGTGGGTAACAAACTGTGTACTTCACTGATATATATATAGATATCATTAATGAGAATTGAGTGTAAATGATTAAAATCTAAGCATGTATTGTAATACAAGAAGGATATAAAAGAATCATGTTATGACATGACATTATAATTAAAATATTATTTCACAATACTAAACAATAAAGAAAAAATTATATTCTAAAACCAAAATTATTTTTTATGTTTCACAGTATAACTTTCCTGCAGTTAAATGGCAAGCACTGAATTAAAATAATATGAATAAAAAGACTTTGTTTACTGCTTTAAATAAGATGAGGCTCTTCTTGGCATGATAATCTATACTTAATCTGGATAAGGGATCAGAATGCTTTTTTATTACTGCAATGCCTACCAGAGCTCATCTTTTCATTGTGCACAACACAACCTCCTTAACGTTTTAGAAGGGCCTTGACTAACTGAACTTTGATCTGATGTCTTCATTGAGAAAAACTCCAGGTTGCTGATTTAGGATGCAAATCCTTCGTGAGGCCTATTGGTGTTTTGTAAAGATGGCAAAGAGAAAAAAAAAGAGAAGTTTCCAAGGACCTCTAAGGGAATCCTGGGGGCACACTGGTATCCTTAATCCACATTGCAGTACGGATTAAGGTAGGGGATAACCTTTCTTAATTCAGAAGAAAGAGTATAGCATCTACAAGCTGGGTGGAGACTAGGATTTAGTCATAATAAAACACTGTGCAATAAAAGCGTGGTCTGTGTCAGAGTCCTGTGAACAGGCCTCAATGTACCAAATTCCCAGGCCTAGTGGGGAAGCTTGCAAAAGCCTACCTGAATCAACTAAGCGTGAGTAATCTGCCTTAGTTGAATGGCTGGGGTGAAGCCTTTTCATTCCTTAGAAGTTTAAGAGTTGATAAATTTATTATCAGTGACTATTAGGCTCTGTGCCTGTCACCTCTTCAGTTCTGAAGAGTAAGTCTGGAGGAAAGAAAAGGGAATGAATCTGTCAGCTAGCAGACGGCTTTTTGACTACCTTCTGCTGCTGATGCCTCTAATTGCAATACTAATGTGTTAGAAACCTCAGATTTGAGATGAACCAAAGCAGAAAATTGATTTCATGCTGTGACAGTTTATATATTGCCCCAAGTACACAAATGGCTCATTCAGAAGGAACTGCACCTTCTAATTTTGTTTAGAGATAGCCTTAACCACTTTGTAACCTTGGAGAGAGATTGGTTTATATAACAGCTTTCCTGCAATAAAAAAAAGCTTTATTCTATTATTTCACATTCTTATGCAATTTCTGTCTTACATTGTGATGGTAATTAAGTTTTGTTTTAATCCCTGTACTGAATAATAATATAACGAATTCAGATAATGGGCTAAGAAATACAACCTTTTGTTTTTTAAACAGTGTACTTTTAAAAATCTTTTATTAAAAATAGATACGGTGGATGGAAATAAGCCAAATCTGCTTTGTTCTCATGGATTACATCTGCAAAAGCTTCCACAAAGGACTCAGTGATTTGATACAAATTACAAGTGCTTTCCACACACACTTAGCACATGGATAAACAATTTATTAGCTCCATTCAACATTTTTACTTCAAGTGCTGTATGAAAACCAAGAAACAGAAAAGGGCGTGGCATGCAACAATACATTATAGTACTTGCTCATATGCCTGTCCAATTGTACCCAATGAACTGAGATAAACTACCAAAAATAGAGCCAAAAGCTTCAAGCATACTTAATAGTTTTATAGAGTGGCTCATTACAACATTTGCCATGTCATTACCCCTCTGTACAGAGGCCACAGAAACAAACACCTCCCCAAATGTGAACCCTTCTAGCCTGTCTGAGGTCATTAAAGGTCTTCAGATCATTTCGTTTCTTTTCTCTTGCTTTTTCAAAACCATTCATTCTGCAGAAACCATTTCCTTACAATGAATGTTTATGAAGAAGACTTGTCAATCGATCAATGAAATATGAACAAACCTATAAAAAAAATGATGAAATAAAGAACAGCATCAGAACCTGCCTCTGTTTCTTTAAATAACAGATTGCATCCAAAATATGCTCTTGCTTTTAATTTTGTAAATGACTCACATTTGTGAAACATAAAACTGTCTTTTTGATGCATTGGATCACCATATACTGTGAATCTTCTTCTTAGTACTGCTGTGAAAACACTATTTATCACAATCATAGATGAATGTCCACTACTACTGCCCACTGTGTGTTAAATTGTTTTAATTCAAACAATGATGTCATCTGAAATTGGTCTTGTTCATTTGTGACAGTCTGTTTAACAACTTAAAGAAGAAAGAACTTAGAATAAAAAAAGGTTCCAAGTCTTTTGATTTTTTTGCCCCCTTCTTAAAAACACACGAAGCAACAAGGGAAATTGCACCTAAGGTCCACTGCACACTGTATCTGATACACTTAGCATCCACCCTCTGAAAATATATCTATCAAAATGGTTGCACATTGGTGTATTAAAATTGCACCAGAAGTAACAATAGTTCCAGCAGCAATGATGAAGATGTACAATGCTTAATCAGATGTCTTTTTGGGGCAGCAAAAACCACCATGCTCCTGTACTGCTCACAGGTGTTAATATAAAAGTCATTACAGTGTAGTGCCATATGATGTTGTGACACGTAAGACAAAGTGATCCCTGTTCACATACCTGTACTTGTGGAAGGTTCTGATAGCGCCAGGCTATTTTCATAGAGTCTTGGCATTCCGGATCACTCCCTTGCTTTTGCAGGTGTTCCGCATTGGTGTTTGGAACATCGTCAAGCAGAGGAGCCGGAAGTTCCTGGTAAAAGATAAAGGTGAGATTTTACAGTACACTTTGAAATATTAAAGTCCTAAAGAAGAAGAAAGTTTGAATAGCGCTGTGATTTACTGTTGCCTCACTACTGGACATCCCTCACACTCTTGTGGAATGTTGCTGTAACTCAAACGGAAAGTCAAGCAAATACAATTTCTGGTAGAAGATCCACTAGACCACAGAGATAAAACTATAAACGTCTCGGCAATTTAACATGTATTAGTGTAAGCTCTTCAACAAGATCTGGCATCAATAATAAAATATAGGAAATAATATACGTTTAACAGAATAAAAAAAAGAGAAAAAATACCAAATTCTGGGTTCTTATAAATAAACCAATTTACCATACAAAAATGAAATCTAGAAGTACAGACAGAACGTGAGTAGAAAACAGGATAAACTAATCTGAGTTCAACCATTTCAAAAAACGGAAGTATAAATGCCCTTAGGAGCTTTCCCTTCCATATTCAATAACAAAAACAAGCTATTGTCTTACAAATAACACCTCAAATTAGCCCTGCTACGTTTTGTGACAAGAGCCACCCTCATTATGCTTGATTATGCATAGGCCAATCAGCACTTCCTGCAGATCAGTTTTCTGTCCCAGATCATTAAGATAATTCCTATTTAAACACTCACCTAACTCCCTGGGCTGGCCATTGTTTCAGCTTTTTCTACTTACATAATCAGTGACACACCTGTTGCTGTCACCTTGTACAGCGCAGTCTTCCTTTAACACACATGTCAGCTCTGAGATGGAAATCTCAGTAGGGGATTAACCATTTTACACCAGTCAACTTTAATGTAACAAAGGAGCAAGGTGAACCTGGCACTCCCTCAGGTGCCGCCAGTCTGCTGTAAGTCTTCACTTCTATATTGAAAAGCCCTCATATGGCCGCTCCGCTGACAGCAACACAACTGCACACCTGAACGCAAACTCCCTTTCCATTCAGATACCCACGGCTTTTCTTACGCGTACTTACTTCCTGATATACAGTACATGCACACTCATACATTTATTCTCGAACTCACTCCTCCCTCAACACACAGACCCACAAATACACAAGTACTTTACAGAATACATACAAACCCACATAAAGACACTTTTCACTCAAACACACACACACACGAAAGGACACATTTGTGAGTGGACTGTTTTCCTCAGATTGAACTGCAGTATTTTATTTATGGTGCTGTTCCTTGCTCTCGCAAGTACTCACAGTGGACAACAACATAAGACTTAACAAAAAGTTAAAAGCTAACTGACTACATTATTACTGAGTTTCAGTTCTGAAATCTCAACAATATCAATGCATTTGGTTCTTGACTCATTAAGCAAAAGGCAGAAATTATCTCTATTACAAAAAACGGCAACAAAAGTGGTTCTGCTGGTACTTTTCTGGATAAAAATCTGACAAGTCCTGGGACATTTTAGTGACAAGAATTACAACATTCATTAAAAACAACACAAGTAAGTGAACAGATATATAAGCACACAAGATGGAGCAGGAAGGCTATAAATGTCTGAAATCCCACTAATGATACTGTAGCCTAGAAGAGCTTCTCGTGTTAAAGACTTTATGGCTCAGTAATTAAAGTTATTATGTTTATAGATTTTTATGAAAACATAATCAGAAATAACAGAGCTATAGCAGAAATGTTGCCATACAGTGGGAAGTCTAAATCTAAACCTTTATGGCTTGCAAAGACAACGGTCAGTCTCCCTTGGGGTAGATATTTTAGTTCACAAAAAGTCTTTTTTTAAAAAAAAAAGAGACAAGAGGTTAAGTGATGACCTCCCATTGTATCAATCAAAATATTTACAATGGCTCTCCATCTGTCTTCCGATTTGAAGCAGCTTACAGCATTCTGTTTCAAATAAAAAAAATGTTCAAAGAAACATTTTAACAATTCGACCCCACTCACTGTTAGATTCTCCAGGGTGCAATAAACTCCAGGCCCAATCACAGCCCAACATTAATGAGGCTTAACATCACTCCCTTCAAAGTCAGTTTAATTGGCTGTTTATCAGTGGTTAAAGGTTCTGAATACCCCTCCAGTTGGAGTATGATGTCTAATATGTGATCATATGTGTGACTGGGCAATCTCTCTTGATTTCAAGAGTACAGTTTCCACTAGTCTGTGTTTGCAGGATGAAACACATATAGGACTTCTGGATTGTCTTATAGCTTCCTCATATAGGAATGTCTCAGCTTTCTTTAACAGGAAAAAAAAGATAAATGTGGTGCATTAGGTCTAATGTTTCTTTTATTACAAAGTAATGATTTGTGTGGAACTGAAACTGAGTCGGGGGTGGGGGGGATGGTGTTAAATGCATTATTTTCCTCCTTGTTTTATGAAAGTAACCGAAACAACCTAAGCTGTAAATCTGGTGAGAGAAAACACATTGCAGCAAACAATAAACAAGAGTATCCAGCTCATTGTCCTTCGACACAGACTTGGACAATTATCTGGAGCTTCTGTGGAGTCATTTGAAAAAATGTGTGAAACCATTAAAAGTTATTTTGGCATTCTTATTCCAACTATGCTTTTTAAGTTAGAAGGCCAAAAGATATAAAACAAGAACATCATATAAATTTTTTTTTTTTAAGTTAACTATAATTCCAAAAAGTAAATAATCAAAGACTTACGTCTGGCCACTAAATTGTTTGTTAAACATCAAATAAATGAGTGGCCAAAATTCTTAAGGTAACTGCCAACTAAAAATACAGTGTACAAAAACCTGCACATTGCTATATAGATTTTTAAAGAAATGCAATTTAGCAGTTTGAAATCTTAATGCCTCCTTCATCTTCAAGCCCTGACTACAATATGAGCAAATGTTTTCAATGTTGATGGATAAATTGCTGGGTGGTAAAATATGATATCTAAGGTAGGTGATGGGTCTTTTTATCTTGTGCTTCTCTCCATCAGTTTCATAGTTGTAAGATAATTATAGTCTGTAAGGCTGTCTTTCTGCACATGGGAGTGTCAGTGGCTTTTGCCATAGTTTCATTTTCCAAATGGCGGAAAATGAAACATTCCAGGACTGTAACTCAAGTGTGATCCATATGAGCCTAAGTAGAAGACTGCTAACAAAATCGTGCATCTTTTACAAGCATTCTGATAACTAAAGAGATATTGCACATGCTTTTTCCATACCTTTAAAATCTCATCCGGGTGGTCTTTGGCAGAAGCTATGAAGAGAGAATGTCCACAGACAACACCTTCTGCTAAGAAATACTTCAGTAACATTCGCGAATAGCTGTCATATTTATCTTCCTCTGTAAAGAAAAAAAGAAATATTTTAACCAAAAAACAGCAATAGAGAGCCAACTTTACAGGAATCACTTTTGAGCAAGTGAAGTAAAGAAATCACTGCATGTTACATGTGTCACAGACACTCAGAGAAATTGTGTGAAGAATTTAGCATTTAAGGTTTCTTTCCATATGATTAAAAAATTAAAACAGACACGCTAATAGAAGAAGCCGTTCATGAAATAATTGGGTGCCTCAGGTTACTTAAAAGGGAAAATTAAGGAGAGAAAGGTCATATTTAAGTAATCAGAAGTATACCCTCCTTCCCCCAGTTTTTTGTAATACTTATTTTTTGTTGCTGTAATTTTAGTATAAATAAGCTTGTAAAAGTATTGCCTTGTGTCAACTATAATTCATGTGACAAGTTGAAGCCTTATTATTTTATTTGCATAACAAATGTCTCCTGTATTTTAAGACAGAGGGTGGCATTGTGGTGCTGTGGTTAGCATCGCTGCCTTGAAGTGCTAGGGCCTGGGTTCAAATGGGGTGCTGTCTGCGTGCAGTTTGTATGTTCATGTGGGTTTCCTCAAGGTGCTACAGTTTACTCCTACAGTCCAAAAACATACTTGTAGGTTAACTGGTTTCTGGGAAAACTGGCCCCGGTGTGACTGTGTGCGTTTGTGTCTCTGTATGCCATGTAACGGACAGACATCCCCTCCAGGGTATATTCTGCCTTGCACCCATTGCTTGCTGGGAATGGCCCCAGCTCTCTCGTGAACCTGTATTGGATTCAGCATCAACCTACAGTATACGTACAGACAGTGGCGGATTACTGTTGTGTTACTACATTACCATTGACTTAGGTTTCAAGAAGTGAACGTTAATTTCCCAGGTCCGCACACTGAATGGATAAACACATTTCTTAAAGAGGATCTACAACAATTGTTGATATAAAATTTGAATAATCATCGGCCTTCAGGGATGACACTGAAAACAGAAGACTCTATGTGATCATTTCAGAGCCAATGAAGATTTGTGCCTCTGATAACCTGGTCAGTTACGGTATTAGTAGATGTTCCTCTTAATACAGTTGACACAAATAAAGTGTACAGTCCATGATTGTAATTGATTTAATGACTGCTAAGTATTACATGAAGAACGATAAGGGATGATAATTCATGACATTGGTTTAACAGTGTTATCTCAAAACAATGAAATAAAAATAAAGATACCATATGGCCATGGTCTGAGAAGTGACTGGCCTGAGACACTAGGGACAAAAAGCTTTCAGAATATTTATTTCACCACAAAAGGACTTGCAAAATTTCCTTTTAATGGGACAATTCTATTAACTTTCTTGTACAACTACTTAAAGAGACCAAATATACATCTAAACATTCAAAGCAATATTATAGTTGCTTTACTTATTACCCAACATAATAAATATGTATGTTTATGATCTATGTAACCTAATTAGGTTAATACAGGTTACATAGGTTACATCATATGTTAAACAAACATTGGAATTTTGTTTTAAGCTTAGGAATAGGATGTTGAATCAAAATGAAATAAAGTGGCTTGGGTTTTACTCAATATTAATTATTCACTAGAACGTGGAGCTTATGGTTTAGTAGGGTCAAAATGGCTGTTGCAAGCCCAGCAAAGCACAATGCTCAATTCCTAAATTCCTAGATGAAATGAGTTGTAATGAATGTACAGTATACAGTGTTCACCTGTAATCTTAGCCAGCCAGCTTCAATGTAAAACAGTGATTCCCAATCCAGGCTCTCATGACCCAAATATTTGCTGAGTTTTGTTCCAACTGAGCTCTTGATTATTTAAATGAACCCCAAAGTTCAATTAATAATTTACTAATTGGACCTTTTTAATTTGTTTTCATCACTGAAAGTGAAGTTACTCGACAACATAATCTGTTCAAGAGTGTGGAACAATTAAAAAGGTCTAATTGATAAGGTTACGGGTTCAATTAAAGGTTTAATTAAGCAACTGAAAATCCAGCTGGACTGAAAAGCAGCAGACACTGAGATCTCCAGCCCTGCTATAAGTCCTGTGACCATGGAGTGCTTCTTTGGCAGCTTCAGGGTAAGCAGAGCACCAACAGTAATTACAACAAAAGATGTCTAAAATACCATTATAACTAAACTCTACATACTGTATAATTCCACATACAACTACATTTAACAATTTTGTATAACACACAACTCATGCTAAAAGATCTGGTGCAACAGTTTTAGTGCTGTTGACATGTTTCAGGCCTGGTAGGTCTAAAGAAAGCAAATGTTTAAGGGATAATTTTAAAGTCTTACAGCTTTGCTGAAAACATTAAAATGCAAAAGAATGCCTCTGTCCATTGCTCGGGATGTCTACACATCTATAAGGAATTCCACAGCTCTTCAATTTGTCATTTGAAGGTCTCTCCTTTATTGATGGATTTCTAGGTCACCAGCCCTTTGTCGTGTTCAAAGAACCTAAAAGGCACCCAGATGGGGCTTCTCAGATGGTGCCCATTGTATTGAGGTTTCTATAGTGTCTTACAAATGAAATCTGCAGAAAAACCATTAGTCAGACTTGAATTGTTTTAGGTGTGGGCACACATCTCACAGTAATGATGACAGACCCAGGACAGATCAGTCATTTCAACAATTGTGGAGTGGATGCTTTTCCCATAATACTTTACTCATCTTGATATACATCTGCAAATGAACACACTTCAAATAACTTTACAAAAGAAAAAAAAAGCATTCCAGATAAATTTGTGTGAATTATGCACATCAAAACATTTTCTGAGTTCCATACATTTAGAACGTTTTTTAAATCCATTTTCTCCACTGAAACTTAAAATGACTATTCTGACTGACATTCGAAATTTCTAGAGCCACTAGACTGTAAAAAAGGATTTAAGGAGTATGCACATGTTTTTAACCAGTTGGTAACTTTTTTAACTAGTGTAAAACTCATGTAATTTTAAATATCTAGTCAAAATAAATTAAAAAAATAAAATTGATAACTGTGTTTAGAATTATTTTTTTCTCTAAACAAGTCAAGATAAAGAAATACATAGAAATGAGAAGTGCATTCAAGACCAAGTTGGCAACAAGCAGAACTGGCTTGTTTTTAAACAAAAAACAAGTTAGATGTTATTAAGATCTGTGTACTCTAGAGGCCTACTATCTACTCTAATTCCATTAGTTTTAGGAAGCTTCAGGGTGTAATTCAGCACGTGTGGTCTTCTCTCAGACAATTCTACAATGCAGTCCTCTCCAAAACACATTCTCTTTTCATGTACTAGAAGGGTCCGGATAAAAAACAACTCTAACTCTACATAATCAAAACCGATTTGTATTCTTATAAACAGTCAGGCCTGTATACCTGTATCACCCAATCATGGGGAGTGTATGAATTATTTACCCTATCAGAGATCCTCTTTCCAAAGACACTCAGGTATCCCATAGGAACAAAAGCACAGCAACAAAATAATAGCTTAATAGCACCTGTTGGACTATTATATGGTTAAATTACTGAGTATAATGCATATAAAGTACTAAAGATTAACACAATTTGATGCAGTAACTCACCTACAAATAGCAGTCAAGGTTATAGCCTTAGAGGAAATTTCCTATAATTTACTATTTTATAACAGTTATTACAAACAATGCCTGGATTACACCTGAGGCCTACAATACAGCATCAAATTGGTATGGTGCTACCAATAGAGAGACACAGAATCTACATTTTCAAGCATGAATCTCTATAATTCTCATGGCTCTGCTCCTTCAAAATCTAAAAAAAAAATGTATCAAGTTTGATTAATCATGGTAAATGCAGTGCTTTTGTCAATATTCATAAACTGAAAGGCAATAAAGCACAACAGTTAGTTTAATGCCTCTCAGTGCTGTATTAAAACACTTTATATCCATTTATTGAACCCTAAAAAAATACACTAGCTACACAGCCCTAACAGAATTAAATTTAAACATTTGTATGTATCTTATCACATTCCAAATATTGAAAACATCTAGTTTCTTTAGGCTAAAGTAGTATCTTTTATGATTTATTAAATGTTCGTAAAACCTAGAGATCTTAATATTCATTAATAGATATATCATTTCTGCTCTACAATGTGCTACTGCTATTTAATATACATAAAGTCTTTGGCTTCACAGCAGAAAGTACAGTAGACTCAGTATCTCACTGCCATCAGTTTCTATTATACTAGATTAAATGATTCACATTATAATTCATAACATGGAAGGCTGAGCATTAGTGTATAGTCACCAAGAGCCTCAGATAAATAACACTGATAAATTAAGGTAACAATAGATATTTTTATGGTAGGTTACAGCCTCATGAGCACCAAAAGTCTTAAGTGCTTTCAAAACAGGGCCACTGTGCCTGAAAATCAAAACACACCTGCGAGGCATTTTCAAACAATCACAAAATCTCCTTGGACACCTTGGACAATGATCGCAGGTAAATAAGGATACAAATAAAGAATCAGAATCTACCTGGGTGACAGGCAGCCCCACGTCACACTTTACCACCTGATCGGCTATAATTACTTCACCGGTTAAATTAAGGGGGTCAGTCTGTGCAAGACCTATGTGGAATGCAACCAGGATACTGAGGTTAATATCTCTATTCTTACAAAGAGTGTCTCCGTACTGTTTATAACCAACTAGTTAAGACCTTGTCTCTAAGGTCTAATGTCTCTTCTGATGAACAGCCACTCCTACAAGGTCTCTTGTCACCATGCTGCGGTCTTGGTTTTTGACATTTCTCGTCCAGAGGGACATGAGCCACCTGCTGGTCACCTTCCGATCCACTAACTGCAACGTACTGGTCCACCAACCCTACTCACAGCTCCCCACTATTTAAACTGTTGTGCCTTTCATGTCCTGCAGATGATAATCTATGTTGGTTATTATGTGCAAGACATGAAAGGCATCACTACCTCCTAGTCCAAGATATACACAAAAGTTTTCTGGTTTTGATTTAACCTTTAAGCTCTCAACGTTAATGACTTAACTGAATGTTTCTGTGGCATTGGTTTTGTCTTGAATTGTTCTAAGTGTGAAGTTACTGAGGATTTAAGGGCCTATTACCAGCTTCAAGACTGTGGCTCTCCAGAGCCAAGAAATAAACACATGTAGAAGTTTTGATCTAGTTGGTTTCCATCAATCCATTCTGGATATCATCTGCATTCGGAGAATTTTTATGTTCAAACCTCGTAAGTTCAGTACATGCTATATCTAAATAATAAAAATATTATTCATATTAATAGAATACTATTTGAAACATGCTATTTATATGACGCACATTTGTTGAAAGCAGTACGTTTCCTACTCCTTCATTATGAAGCCTTTTGTCATCACAGATTAATAATAGAATAGTTCCATTAATTATATACATCAAGTCTTTTTTGGTTGAAAAAAGTTCAGGACTAAAATCACAAATGATGTAAAATGAAACAAAACAATGTTTTCTTTGGGGACAAAAAAATGCAGGTGACAACCTCCTGGCCCTGATTCCCATTCAAGATCCAGCACACCGTGGGAGATGTGATTACATCATGCAAATAACACCTGAAACTGCCATTACTTGATTAAATCAACCAGGATAATGTGGGTTGGAAAAAAAAGAGCATTTAATCCTCTAAAGGAACTCATTTGTAGACTGGAAGTAATAGCAATGTAAGGGAATACTGAACTAAGTTTGTAAACTAAGTCAAAAAACAAAGTTAAATTCCTAAAAAAACTTTTCAAGTAGTACCTGACTCCAGCATGAAAACAGAAACAACACTGAGAATATGCTAATCTTATCAGTGTCATGTGCTCACCTCTTACCTGTTGACAGTCAGTTACCTTGAAATGAAGCATACTAAGTGTTATGGAATTAACCTCTGGAAGGACCACACAATCACTTGACTAGATCTGGCGGAAATGAATGACTGATTTGACTCTTTAACCCTTTCTCCACATGACTTCTACTGTTTTTCAATAATATGATAAAACTCTTCATGGCTGTTTTGGAAAAAAGTTGAAGTAATAAGGGCTGTCATACTTACTTGATAATACATTTTTCATTACTATTTTTGTGTATTGTAATCAACATTTGAAAATATTTTTAACACATATAGGAAATTGCTTACCTATCAACAACAGACTTCCAACAGCTAACCCACCTCCTGTTAAAACAAAAGTTAACATTTTTAGCCAACCTTTTTTATATTTTCAAATCACTGTAACATCTGTTCTCCTACTATGAATTACCATTTGTGGAAAAGAAAAGCTAAAATGTTTAGTTGTCTGTGTGCATGCATTTTAGTATATAAAACTGGATATTGTCTATGGTACAGTAGCTGCATTCAGAAATTTAAAACTCTGAAAAATCTGTTGCTGGATAACTTAATATTCTGTGTACATCAGATTTGTTTTTAATCCTCAGATATTATAGCTTGTTTGAAAATGTAGTGAGCTGGCATTAAAACTACATTTTTATTTATACCGTATTTAACAAGATCTGTCCCTTAATTTAGTCAGGGAGGGTGTATTTGAAACTTGGTGATTTAAACGTAAACAGCGAAACCTTGGAAGCGCAAAAAGGTACATTTCTATGCGTTAGGAAGATACTGTTTTACGTGTAGACTAGAAAAAATCTAAAGTTGCCATCTCTTTTAACAGCAAATACGCACATCTAACTACAGGGTGCTTCCTACACTACTGGCAATTCAGAAATACGAATAGTATCAAGAGAAGACTGGGTTACTAGGTTGCAATATCATGCAGATGGGGGCATTATTTAACTGTATTACGTATAACAGATAATCTGTGGAAAAATGTAGACGTGCGTTACACATTTATAATCTACCTTAAAATGAATGAACTGCGAAATGTTCAATTTCAGTTCACTACTGTATTTTATAGCATGTCAAGTTATAGACCACACACGTGCACTAAGAAACAGGAGGTACGACAATAAACTCGAGAGAGACAGGGTGACTACTTCATTAAATAATTATTTCATTTTCAGGAATGTGTCAGTTTACAAGTTGCCAGTCTGTCGTTTGCATAGAAGAAGCAACAGCACAGTTACAAAGAGGCTTAGATAATAAAAGACTAACCTATAACATAATCAAGAGATGTGACCCCAGTAGAAACAATAAGCTGTCCATTTTGAACGGATGGTCTAGTTCCAGGGATGGAGACGAACTTGCTGCGCGATTTCTTCTGAAAACTAGTTGTTCCGACTGTAACGCTAACACCTTGATTTAAACTAGCTTTATTCACGTTCTTCATGCGGGCAGCCATGTTTAGCGTTATGTTGACATAACTGAGGGCTCAGGAAAGCAGCTGACCAATCGAAAAGCGAATTCTTAGTTAATCAGCCAATCATAGAGGTTGTTATTGGTATGACGTTTCACTGCGCTTTGAAACGGTGTAGAACTGCAGGTGGACCTGAAGTCACGGAATTGAGCAGTTACAACTATCCTTGTTAGATTGTTGACAAGGTGAGTATTAAGACCTTTATTTTCAATGTTGTAAGTGCTAAGTACTAAATAAAAGATATAAGAGCTATATACTTGCAGAAACAAAGAACCATTGTACTGATAGCCAATGCCAGTAAGCCTTTGTCAGAAGAACACAATGAAATATAAAAAAATGAATTGTTTTCGCAGGTAAATCAATGCACATAGAACCATACGTAAAAATGAAAATGTTTTGTTTGGTCGCTAAAATTTCTTCCATGTGTTCTTGAGTATTTTTTAAATATCCTCCCACAAGTCATCTTTAGTCTAGCACGGATACTGATAAGTTGGAAGTATCCAAAATTGATCGTCATCTCTCACATACGTTTACTGAACAGCCATTTACTCTATAGCAAATCATCATTTGCTAGAAACCTGGCCTAGCTAATTCAAAGGTCTACACTGTTATGACACTGTGGTCCTGAAACGTGATTTTTTTTTATCACTTAAAACCTTGCATGCGGCATAGATCTTCTCTTCGTTTTGGACAACCATTATGCACCAACAGCATGTCCACTGGCAGCTCAGAGAAGGGAGAAGTTACTTCGCTAACTGTACTATAATGGGGGTGCAGACTGTGCAAAGCTAGAACTGGAATTGTGTTAACACCCCAACTCTTCTGAACAACTCATGAAATCCTTAATTACCAAGATGTCAGGATCTCGATTTAATGCCTCATCTGAAGCAGAGCATCTCCTACAGGACTGAGTCACTCACGAACAGAATGGAAATTCTGGTCTAGAGTGCCACTAACAGCTGCCACCTTGTTTTCCTTGAAGGTCTCAAGTCCCCAGTGCCGACCAAGACCAGTTTAGCTTTCTAAGACCTTAGAAAGACCTTCTGTCTTGCTTAGCTTCTGAGACCTGATGAACTTGGGTGTTAAACTGTTTATATATGCTGATAATGCTGCTGTCACAGTAGGTGTAGAATCATGTGTTTTAGAGACTACATCTGAATTACCACTTTCTCAAATGAATAAGTGATGAATTAAGTGTTATTAATAGTACTTAATTTAGATTTTGAATAGATGTAGTTATATAATATAGGTGAAAACAATGTTTGTGTAGTTAATAAATTAATTACATTTTGTGGGTGGAGGGTGCCTCAACCAGAAGCAGTGCTGCAGTCAAGATGTAACAGGATTCTAATGTAAATCTAATATTTTCTGGATTAGTAAATAGTAAATCTGGATTCCCCCCCCCCCCCCCCCCCCCCCCCAAAATAAGTGTAATTTGTGTTGTTCTATGGTTCTCTATTTCTATGGACTTGTTTATAACTGAACAAAAAAAACACATTTAGCAATGTCATCAAAATTAACATTGTTCTTTGGGAATAACATAAAGAGTTTTTTTTGGCTCTCTAAGTTATTTCTACAAGGCCATTGTCAACAGTTTAATCTTGGTTTGAAATACACATCTTAACAAGGCTAGTTTTTCTCTGTTGGAACAGTTTTGTAGTGTCAATTATTTTGTATGTATAACATGTTTAAAACAGCAGTTCTGCATTTTCCGGGAAGATGCTGTATTGTGAATATATGATGTTAGTGGAAACGTGAGACATTATTATATAAGAAAATTTGAGTGTGGTTGTTTAAAATATGTTTTTGCTAGGATATTCTAAAGTAATGCTTGGGTTACCTTTTAATTAATTGATAGCCATGTATATTATCATTTTTCTTATTGATAGTTTATTTAAAATAATTACATTGGCATCAATGTTCCTAATCAGCTTAGAGGCGTATGCCATTATACTGCAAAGCTTCTTTCCCCATCAGGGCTGGAATGCAATGGCTTTCGGATCTGCCGATTAAATTGTATAGTCACCAAATCAGATTAGTTCCTAGCCACCTGACTAGGTAGGCCTAAAGTCACATGACCAGGTTCCCTGCTGAAGCCATGCTGGGCGCAGAAACAAGGTACTTTGCTACTTGAGATGCTCATAAGCACTACACAGCATGAGCCCATATAATGATTGCAAAGAAGATGGCTTCATTTTTATTCAGCTTTTCTCATGCAACAATAGGATGAGCCTGAGACTGTAGTGCTTTGTAGCTGACAACAGGCAGCTTGAGGGCATATCTAATTGAGGGAATTGAGGATATGTTAGGTTAAACAGGCAGATTTTAAATGACAGGATGCAGCACATGATTTTAAATGAATAAAATAAATATTTATCCTTAAATGGTACAAATTAATTAGTAATTAAGATAAGCATACTTAGATTGAGTGTTGATTTCAGATGCTTGAAGATCTACCATACTTACAGGATCCCAGGTAAAGGTGATTACATGAATTAAATATACAAAATTTGATGTTCTGTGTTATTTTCAAATGTTTACAATGACAAAGCTCTGTTGATGGTGGCTCTTTCTATATTGGAACATATTTATATTTAGATCATGTGAAAAAAGAACCAAGATCAGATTGATGTTAGTGTTTAGGTGATTGAAATGGAAAAATAAAAATAATGGGCAATGTTGATCACTGAGTTAACATGCTAATTAAGTACCTTAAATTACACTTTTCAACAGAAATCTGAAGTTATTCTGTTTTTTAATCAGGGGCAAAAATTTGAAAATCAGTGGAATTAAATCAAAAAGAATAACGTTAAATAGAAGTGTAACATGTTTTTTAAAGAGAGCTGAGCTTTGAAATCTGTTTGGTAGTATATGTTCTTAGCATTCTTATCTGGAAACATTCTCATGTTATGATAACATTACGTTTAACACCATAGAAAATGAAGGCAATTTCATTTCTCATGACTTACAATACACGATACCCATCATAACATGAAAAAAAACCTTGCAAAATCAATAGCTTCTTTTCAAAAGCCTGAAAAGGAAACAATCCACTTATTGAAATATTTCTACAGTAATAGCTGTTACATTGGTTGTTTTGTGAAACATACAAAATCAAAGATCACATCAAAATACCATATTTAGTTTTAAAATGTTACTGGGCAACAAGATTAGTTATTTAATAATAAAATCCAAATTCTCAATTCATTCCTTTTATGAGTGTATAATGCGATAATGTTATGTCAGTTTTATTGGTTGATATCAGATTGTACTGTATAATACTGATAGTCATAACATGTCAAACACTTTCCTGAATAGGTTGTAGATTGTTTGGGTTTCCCTTGAATATTTCTATACAAGAGTGTAACAGCAGGCTGGGGGGAAATGAGATCGTCATCAGCATAGTTGCAATTTATTTAGTTAACATTGAAGAGAAAGTTATAGTTTAAAATACGGGGAGACCTTTAAAGAAGCATCTTTGTAATTTACTTAAGTTAAATCTCCTTGAAGCTAACTAAAGGATTTTTGGATTAAATGTATGACTGAGTGCGTTTCATTCATGTGCAAAGTAAATAATAAAATCTGTTATTGATATGTCTGCTTTAAAGGTTTAGTTCATTGTGTGCATTGTTCTTGGATATTTTATGAAAGACCTGTAGGTATCTACCAGAAGTACACAAGATTTACTGCAGTGTATCCAATGTACCCTGCAGGTCTAATATATTCTCTACTAATCTTTCTGTATATGTTGGTAATTTTAGAAACCAGCTGTGTAAAACTACACAAACAGCTTTACAAAAACCATATACATTTATAAAGTTTCAATACGCCTTTGTGTAGTCCTCTGTCTTGGTATAGTACCTCTGTTGGCAGGGTCAAAATGTCCAGTTTCTTTCTGTAAGTGGTTGTAAAGTCTGAACATGGTCAGAATCTCTTCAGATTGCAGTGGAGGCAGCCCATGGTTTGATTCATGCTGAGTATGATTCCTGTTTTTATAAACTAGGTATCAAACCTAATTTGAGGGGTTTAATTATAATTATGCTGATAGTTTAGCGAATTCCACAGAGGCTATAAACACTTTCATCCCATGGAATGTAAAGCGACCAGTATAAAAGGAATAATCAGTATCTTATTTGCCTTCTGCCTTCTACCTTCTGCTGTGAAAAAATTAGAGATCATAAGGAAATTCCCCCCACTGCACTGATGATCCTTTATTTCAAGCTCCCATCTGGGATTTCTGTGTCTAACATATTTAATGTTTTTTTTTTCTCCATGTAATCTACTTAGCTACACAACGCCCTAGACTTCTCATTCCATGCCATTCTAATTTCTTATTTTAATGATGAGGTTCTTTTGAAATCTACCATTTTCGTTTTATCTACTTTTGTGGCCAGATAAGCGTTGCGTATTTCATACTGATTTATATCATGGATTCAAACATCTAGGGATTGACTAGGACTCCAGTAATAATCAGATGAAGACTTATCTTCATTCCAATCTTTCTGCTTTTTATAAAGGCTGCTTTCGTTTATGCAGTGAACTAATGTTTGGATGGGTAAATGCTTTATGTCTGCACCCAGTATATACAGTATACTACAGGTGTAAAAATATGTTGACATTTTGTGTGTGGTTTTTAAGTTGTCACTGCATATCATGTTTGAATATTTTTATATTGCTCCTAACGTGTAGAGTTGAGAACATTGTATATTAATTATCAAAGCTGAATAAATTTGAGAACAATACATGCAAATGTTATTTTGATTTGTTTATTTTGCTCTTGGAATGTATAGGCATTTGTAAAGGAAGAGATTTAAACATTCTTAAATGCAGAGAGAAATTAAGGTACAGACTTAATGAATTAATCTTTTTTTTCCAGTGTGAGTGAAATCACAGTTTCTTCTGTCTTCCCTTGTTTTGTATCAGTCTGAAATTGTTTTGGAGCATTGCGTTTTGTGCACCCTCTCCTGCCTAGTGTACTTCAGAGTTGTTTCCCAATGAGCCATACTGTTCTCTTCACTCACGCAGCTTTGGTGATGGTGGAAATTGTGCACATTGATCCATCAGGAAGGGGAGTGTTAGATTTGCTTCCCACACTCTATTGTGGATCACAGAGCTGTCAAATAAACATATCAGTCTACAGTGTAGCCTATCTGAGAGAGAAGAAGTTGATGCAGAAAAAGTGGACTGTGGTGATGATGTCAATACAGAGCAGTGTGAAAGACTGAATTCCATCTACATACTGTAGATGGCAATGCAGAAGAAAGTGCTCCATGAGGCATTGTTAATGAAGATTTTGCATGCTTAATTTCAGTATCCAGAAACAATGTTCTTAAGAAAGATACCTTGAAATATGTCCTACTTAATTTTAGTTACCCTTTTTATTTAGTCAGGGTTTTGTTTACAGTTTATAAAAGGATTAAGCAACATATTTTGCGTTTAAGGCAAAAAAGTTGCAACATAGAATTTAGATGTTTCTGTATATGCAAAATAAAAACAAACATTTTTACCTGGGTCAATGTTTATTTCCATTTGATAAAATATTTACTTAGTGAATACTTAAAATATATAAATAATCCTTATACCTCCTCAAGAAAAGGAAAAAACATTTAATGTCGATGATCTGAATGAACTTCTTATTTTAGTACTTTACTACATTTTTTTTGTCTGTTTATCTGAGACCAGGGATTTGAGAATGAATTGCCTTTCACTACACAGATCACAGATGGTTAAGCAAGATTTCTACATTAATTTCTTAGTTTTTATTATGTACACAGTCATTTGTAATCCAGGATTAAGGAAGACAAGGTGTTAATTTCTTGCTATAATATAATGTGCATTTCAATTAAAGACTGCCCCTGCAACCGAGCCAGAGAATTAAAGAGAAGATGGCATTTGTTCTAACTACATAAAGGCTGTCAGTAATAGAGATCTAATCGGAGATTTCTGCGACTGGGAATGGCCAGCTAATTTATACGAATCCGTTTTATTTCTAGAAGAAAGAGCAAGCTCTTTTCCTTCTGTGTTGCATATTACGAAGTTCAGACTGTCTATAGAAAACCAGGCGGCTGCATATGGATTGTCCCTTGATATCATTCACTTGCCGTGTAATCTTATTATGCAAAGTTCTAATCTTCACCTACAATGAATGCCCAAGGGTCGGAATATAGTCATATCAAGGTTCTGGGGTCATGTTTTGTGATCCCTACCCTATTCTTCTAAGCAGATCTGGGATTTAAGGGCAGTCCCAAGAGGCTGTCAGAGATAGACGGAGAAACCTGCTGCATGTTTGGAAGACAAGATCAACATGAGGTCCTTGCTAGGATTAAACTTGATTTGTAGCTGTAGGATTTTCTAACAGATGTATTATTGGACGGGGAATAAGGGGCCACCGGCACAGCGAAATTGGATCAAGATTGGCATTCTCGGTGAGTCTGCTGGCTGCTAAAACAGCAGCTGCCTGCAGATTTGACTTCTTTCAGGTGAAGCGACTTCCAGTCATTTGGAAAGAGATGGGATGAAAAGGAACCTCGGCGATAATTTTGATGTCTGTGAGATTTAGTACCAGTGTAATGGGATTATCGGTAACACCTTCGCTGCAGAAAAAGCCACCTGGCGCTATAACTGGCAGCGACTGAGAACTAATCCTTTCCCATCTCTGGGATGTCATTCATAAAGCTCAAAGTGATTTCCGCACTGCTTGCCATGATTAATGCTATCAGCAGAAATGATGTGAAGAAAGTGCAGAATTCATTATGAAATGACTGACAAACAACTGGTTGCGAAGCATTGCCTCCTATTCATTTTTCATGAGGGCAAAGTTACTGTGCTTCTTTTAAAAGGAAGATTAAGTTAAAAGTAAAACTTTTTTTACTCCTGTAGGACTTAAAATAATAAACATAAATGTTGTCAATTTTGTCTAATAATACCGTACTCGGGTTTTCTCTCATTCTATTTTAAAACTAGGAGGAGTTTCTTTAGATGTCTCACGTGTTACAAAGGAGTCTTATGCCGTAAAATAAATATAATTCCTGGTCCAGAAGGAAAAGAGTATCTAGCTATAATCAATAAGGCAGAAACAAATCCAGATTTGCTAATCTTATGTTTGCAGTATGAATTAGCCCTGTGACTGCAAAAATCCTAAGAATTCACTTAGTAAATGAATTTTTCACAGGCATTGCTTTCCAAAATTAAACCTTATTGTTATAATTTCAATGATGAAAGAAAATGGCTTTAGTAATTGAATGCTCCAACCCCAGCTGTAGTTTATTTAGATCCAGTCTATTTCATCATTGGTGATGCAGTGAAAAAGTGCAAAAAGTGATCTTTGTAAATGAATTAATTACCCAAGAGGAGGCACTGCTTTGCTGAACTCGGGACCTAAAGATGGCATGTATTGATAAGTCAAACACCTGGCAGGTGTTGTTGAAAAAGTCAGCTTTGGGTCAGATGGTTCACATTCAATTGTGTTACAAATCTCTAAATTACACTAATGTTCACAGTGCTGGAGACCTTTGCAGTGACTGTTTTCTTTGCTTCCTTTAATGTGTGTAATACAGTACTTCCTTCTGGCTTCTGAGCTGATCTGATTCAACTTGAAATAAAAAGACGGAAGTTGTTCTTGACATAATGCTGTCTATAAGTGCCAGATCTTTCAGCTTCACCTGCATAATTGTTATCCCAAAGAATCATGTCCTTATTTTTTGGTCAGATAAATCCAACGTACCAGTTTGTGTTGATGTACTGCATCTTAAAAGGTGATTAGGCTTTAAAGTACCAGTGAACCAAAGCCATGGTTAAAGCCAAGCATATTATTGTGAATATTTTTTTGGGTTGTTTGTAAAGTGGAAAGTTTAATTTGTGTGAAATGTACAGCAGTTCACATTATACACTTTCCCAGCAAAAGGCTCTGTCAGTACATTCAAAGAAATGTTCTTAGTTTTCCAGTATTATACTGGAATAATTGCGAGAAGGGTATACAGTAAGCATGAAGAACACACAGCTTATGCAGCAGTGGCCATTAAATACAAAACATGTTATTTTTAGCTGCAGGTCTTGACATGTTCCGGAGAGCAGTGGGGAAGGCACTGGGTTTTGTTGGATACACTATTCAGTATGGCTGCATTGCTCACTGTGCATTTGAGTACATCGGAGAGCTTGTTGCGGTACGTCCCCCTTCCCAGCCCTTTTTCTTGTGCTCATTTCCAGCATTTATGTCAAAACTATTGCAAATAACATAAAAGGCCATTGTACAGGGCATTGAAGATACCACTTGATTATGTAATGGCTGTTCCTCAACCTAAAATAAACAGCTGGTGGTGTCATTGTATCAGTCAGAAATCTATTTCCACCCTCTGCAGCAGAAAGGTAGAATTCTGCACTGATATGTGGGAGGGTCTTGTGTCTTGGTTATTGTGAACCTGCAGTATGAAAACTTGTCTTCAGAATGTACAAAACCTAAGCAAGCATCTGTAAGTGTCAAACCTTCAATTGGAATAAAGGACCATTTAAAATGTCAATGTATCTGTTTTCTGTACATACTGTAGAATTTTCTCTGGAATCCAACAGTGTGAGATAAAATTATGTAAACCACGTGATTTCAAAATGATCTGTTCAGCTCTGTTCAAAATGATCTAAATAGAAAAATCTGTCTTATGTCTTATGTTTGTGTGGGTTTTATTAGATGTTATTCTTTTCCACCACAGTGTTCTGGACCTTCTATGGAGCCCACTATCCAAAATTATGATGTAGTGTTTTCAGAAAAGATAAGCCGTCATTTCTACAGAATTGAAAAGTAAGTTGAGTCGCTGTAGGTGCTGCAGTATTTCTGTAAATCTATTTATTATTTTTTTTAGTGACCAGTGCATGTCTTATATTCTGGGATTCTCTATGGCCATAGTGCATTTTTCCCTCTTATTTATATAAACCCCAAAAGCCAAAGTTTGTTTTTCTTTTCAGAGAAACTGAATGAATACAAATTTGAATTTTTCCTCCTTTAGAAAATACCCATGTGCTATTGTAATTTTAAAAGTTACATATATAAAATGCCCCTTTAATAGCAAAGTAACCACATGTACAGTATATGATGATTTTTAGTTTACACTTTGTATTTTAGTAATTGTAAAGGACTTTGTAGTTCTTTGTCAAAGATTTTGTCATTTGAATAAATTGTATATCTTAGCTGTCCTTTCTTTAGCACATTAGTAGAGCAAATAGGAAAAAAAGTCTTTATTGAAGACTGCAAGCTTCATTCCACTCTGCTTAAAATTATCAATGTTTGAATTTTCCTCAGGGGAGATATTGTAATTGCAAAAAGTCCATTTGATCCAAAGATGAATATTTGTAAAAGAGTAATTGGATTAGAAGGAGACAAAGTCTGCACTAGCGGCCCATCTGATGTCTTTAAGACCCACACTTATGTGAGTATTGAACTGATAAAACAGAATGGAAAAATTGAATATTTAGAATCTCATCTTTCACTCAATTTTGGCTATGAGCTGGTGTTGTTTGTCCCTGTACAGTATATGTTCATATTTTCCTTTTTGAAATAATCTTCAAAATAAGTTTTCAAAATGAGAATCTTATAAGAGGACACTAGGGTGGAACAATGTGAAGTGGAAAATGGTAAGTATATATTTTGTTTCTGTTTAAGTTATGTCATATCAGAATGGTTAAATCTAATCTTTGTACCTACAGTACAAAAACATCTATTGTTGCCACAGATTTAGCAGTGTAAGTGGTGTAAAAGTAAACTGCTAATCATGTATTCTCTTAGAATGTGTCTACAGGTACCACAATTGCAGCATTATATAGCATTTAATCTTTGATCATGTATTATTTAAAAAAAAACTTTTGTTCCTAAACATGATGCATTTAAATGTCATTTATAAAAAAAATTGGTTTAGTTTTGGATTTGAGTGCACAATATGTTTTCAGATGCTTTATCTTCTGGTAATTTTAATCTCCTCGCTTTAGAGAATTATCAGATTAATCCAAAGTCTGTATCAAAAAGCCCTGATACACTAAGCCTCTCCCTTACTTAAACAGAAACAGTACCTGATAATGTCACTTAATACCTCTTAGGTGTGTAAATAAGGAATTGGCTTCCTGTCAGTCACAGTGATTAAAGCTTCAGCTCCACATCCATTTCTCAGCAACGGTTTCTCTACAATCAGTCTCAGGACACCGCTAATGCCACAGCAAGCAGAGAGAAAATTTGTTTATTCATGTGCTAAAATAGAGTTCGTTTGCAGGGGTTACTCTACCTTTTCATTCGGAACCTCTCTGGCAAATGTAATAAGTGTTGCACAGACACATGCTTGGACACACACAGTTACTTGCAACAAAGGCGCAGTATTTACAGAAAAGGCTTGTTGGCCCCACAATCCAAGCTGCTCTATGTCCTTCCAGTAGTTATCTGGAAGTCAGTGTTTACAGAGCACCAAGCTAAACAGCCTTTTGTTTTGATTTTAAATGTAATTTGTTTAAAGATAAACGAATAAAATCTGGATATACTATATGGTGTATGAATTTGGTTTTGATTTTTGTTGCAACAATACTTAAGTAAAAATGAAAGAGCTGTATGAAACATCAATTGTGTGTTTTTAATGAAAATGGTAATAAAATTTTAAAAGATTTGCTAGGCAAAGTGATACCCTGTAGTTTTTCAGTTCTGACTGCATGTTTTGCGTTATACAATATCGCTAATTAATATGAAAAAAATCACAAATAATTTGACAAAAATGATGCTAGGATGCTAAGGGAAACAATTGATTCAGAATTTTAAAGTTATCTCCTGAAAACATATCTAAAGCTGTTTGTCACAACAAAGTAGCCTTATCTACAACATGGTTACAAGGCCCCGAGGCTTCAATGTGCTCAAGGGTATCACGATTAGGCAATAGGAAAGCAGAGAAATTTGCTTTGGTCTGGTAATTCAATAATTGTCTTTTGTATGACCTGTAAAATGAGTTACTAGGTGGAAAGGAAGGGCAGACCATCTTGTAGATCAGATTTATAGGGATGGCCTGGACATGTAACACAATGTTTTCCGCTACCTCAGATCCACGTTAAAATGCATATTTCCTTTCTGAATATGGAATTTGTATTCTACATTTGTGAATACAGTATGTCACCGTGTAGATTCCCCCCCCCAATATGTTAACAATTTGAGCTTTTCATTTTCTATTCATCAAATTGTTATGGTAGTGAACATACTGAATGTTAATATTGAGAAAATATTCAGTTTAAATTAATATATTTCTGTCTAAATTTATAATCGCAAAGTTATGTTAAATTCAGAAGTAGATTCTAAAATCTGAAGGTAAATAGTATTGACTGTGAAATGTCTTCAATATAGTAAACACTTCACTAACATTCACACTTTCTCTAATTTTCAGTCAAACAAGGCCTTTTTTGACAAGTACTGATGTAATGGTGGGTACAATTTCATAATCAGAACACACACTCAAACTTATCCTACTTCTAGTCCTGTTAAAGCAGCTCCAACAGACATATTGTTTGAAATGTTTCCATCAGATACACTCAAAACGCATTTAGGATCAGAATAAACCATCAGCTTTCAAAATTTAGATGATGTGGTCTTCATTAAATTCTGTTTTACTAAAAACAAAGGTCATCATAATTTATTCTGTCTTTCATGAACTTCGCGCTAGCCTTTCATCACCTATTTTAATCAAGAAAGGTAACACCTGTGGTTTATTCTAAAGCCCACCTTTTGTTATCCGAACACCCGCAGGCTATGAGGCAATTACATTTGTGGCCATGTACCAAACTAGTAAGCCATTTCAAAGACCTGGGTAAGGATATGAAAAAGGGAGGGGGGGCTTTCTTCTTTTGTCCAGCACCGAGATTAAGTTTTGTCAGAGTTCAAGGCAAAGAAAAAAAAAGTAGTTGAATAGAGAAAGAGCTGCTTTTTTTTCTTCCATCGAACATGGGTTTCTCTTTCAGAGACTTGAGATACCTGTGAACTTGCAAGGAGGTCGGCATATTTTAACTTGAACTGTTCGCTGTGTCAGATTAGCTGTCTTATCAGGTTTCAGAGCCCATTGAAATATGATCTATAGTATTAATCCTTTTCAGTTATTGTGCAATGGCTAAAAAAATAAGCAAAAAATTACACAATGTGTAACTATACTTTTCTCCATTGAAAAAGATGTCCCCATACTTTATTAGGGTAGCTAAATTGTTCCTCTTTAAAAATATTTTATTAATGTAAAAAAAAAACAGGTTAATAAATGCATATATATGATTATTTTAAGTACATTTATGAACTAATTTTATGTTTGACACAGCTGTAAGTAGATTCAGTTTATTGACTGCTGTAGAGTGGGAGGTTTTTTAAAATGTTTGTGGAAATTAGTTGATACAGTGCAATGGATTCTCTATTCTACTCTGTTCTAAGTAATTAAAGATCACTGTGCCAGTCACAGCTGGCATCTGTGACCCACTAAAAAGTACAGAACAGTATGACCATATCCTCCCACAATAGTTCTGGTCTTGATCAAAAGGGTTGGTCGACAACCTGAGTGAACAGATAGCCCTCCAGTGAAATAACCCACTACAAATGCAGGACAAGTTTTTCTGAATCTCTAATTGTTTCTCATACCCACCCAATTTGGAATTAACATTTATTAGCATGGATTTATCACAACCCTTGTCCACACATGCCATGCTGCCTGTAAAACACTTGTCATTTGAGACGGTGTGAGCACCAGTAGAGTTAGCACTGACTGGAGCAGCCCAACGTCTCTGGCATCATGTGAGTCCACAGGCCTTTGCCAGGTCCCATCAGAATTCACTGCTTTACATTATTGTGCAATAATACTATATTGCTTGATTAACAAAACTCCATTTCCACTGAGATGTCTGTATTATTTGTTTTCTCAAGATAAGGTCTTTTAATAATAATAATTTCCTTAGGAAACTTTAAGTGTTAACAAACATTGCTTCAAATCCAGAGAATGACAAGGTGTTGCATTTTATGAAAGCACAGTTTATGAATGACATTTGTGCTTGTTTTATGTTTATTAGGTAAATATTTACAAAAGCAAAAGGGTTCTTTTTTAGGTAAAAACTTTTTCAAAACAAAAAGACATTTTCTAATATCAATGAAAAATACAGTAAAATGTTATTGTAAGGATTTGCTTTCACTAGTCCCTAATGTTTACATTTGTCACTGCCCACAAAAAGTAATATATAATGAATGCCATATTCAGAAGGTGCTTTTGGTGACCCTTGACCTCTACTTATATTTCATCCCTATAGTATGGCACCACATTGCAAGTAGTATTTTGCAGAGACGAAGCCTTTTCAGCATCATCTTCATCTTCATCTTCTTTGTGTGGCTAAAGGACCAGGCTGTTAAAAGCTAAGAAACACAAAAACAGACTCCTTCTGGGTTGTGATGGCCATTATTACAATATAATGTGTTGTAGATCCTGCGTGCACGTATAGCGGACCAAGGACTTAATTAGAGCTTTGACAAGTCTACTTTCAGAAAGTGATGAGATTATTTGTAATTGATGTCACAGTCAATTATGGCTCGGTCTGTTGCGGGCCTACTGGCAGGTCTAGCCTTGGTGCAGACCCCAGGACGTTGATGAGAGAGTGGTTGCCCTGTTCGTGCTGTTTCTGTTGCAAGAGGGCAGATTTTAGTGAACAGCCTAATGACCCTGTTTGAAGTCTAATAAATCCATGACCCTGTCCCATTGGTCTAACCTCTTGTATCTTCATATGCAAAGAAAAGTTGTCATTAACTGTGGTCTTTTGGACCAAAGTGTGGAGACGCCACACGTGACTTAATTATCGGAGATCCTCTTGTTCTTGGGAAAGCCATGAAGTATTTACATGCAAACAAAGTTAACAAGAGCTACAAGGTTAGAAAGCCATTTTTAGAATGCAACCGGAGAAAAAAAACATTTTTTCCCCTCCATGTACATATAGGTTCCAAAAGGGCATGTGTGGCTAGAGGGAGACAACCACAGGAATTCCACAGACTCGAGAAGCTATGGGCCAGTTCCTTATGCCCTGATACGAGGGCGGGTTTGCCTAAAGGTACTGCAATATCATCTGCTCATACAGATTTGTTTTTTTTAATTAAAGCAAACTGCATCCAAAGCCTGTCTGGTTGTAATGACAGTCAATTAAACCTTTTATTACAATTCATATTCTAATTAATTTTGTATGTAATCAATTAATTAATGAGTCTGAAGTCGGCATTCATTAATATTTGTTTCTCTTTCTTTCTAGTTATGGCCCCCACATAACTTTGGCACCCTAAAAGAAAGTCCAAATGGGAGGATTATCCGAAGTGACTGATTCAAATGTTACATCCACAAATGTACATGATAGCATTTCTGAAAGCATTAGCACTGTACATAAAAGCATTTTAATAAATATTTTTAACTAATTGCATTTTCTAAATCCTTATTACAACCAATATGCAATTACACCACATTGCAGAGTGGAAAAAAATCCATATAATTTCTAAACATGTTTGTTTTATTACATCTTTCAAATTTATAATAATGGAACATTTTTCATCAGTCAGTTGTCAAAATTCCTTGACCTCTATACTCAGGGAACAGGTATCGCAACAGATCACTGACACATTTTCTTCAGCCTCTTCTTTCGACATCATGTATTCTCCTCCACAGCGGCATCCATATAGATAGGCTTGCTCATCTAAAAGTAAATACATTGTCAGTGAGTTTAAGGGGATAAAACTGACCAATGAAAGATGGATTTATCAATAAAGAAAACTGCCCCTTTTACCAATGCACTGATCAGTACTGTTGGGAAATATGTCTGTTCACAACAAAGTGATACATGTGATGTTATACTTGCCATCCTGCCACGTCATATCTTCAAGACGCACATAAGCATCAATGGGCCATCCCTGCTTCAGTTCAGCAGCTGTAAATGAGAAGAAACAACTGCACCCTTAGTCGCTGAATGAAATGCTTCAATGCATTGCTTAGTGATATAGGTGCGAAGGTTTCCTTCGGCCTCTTCTAAGATAGATTATCTGCGTTTTTACCTTCTCAATTCTTTAAACACATCTTTACCCTGTGATGTGCTGCAGTATTAAGCACCTATACTGTATGTACTGTGTTTTGTGAAGCTGGCTTGACCCTGTCCAGCTCGTGTGGGTTTGCATTATCTCTATCCCACCCCTTTGTGTCCGTGCAAACTACTTCCCTGTTTAAAGCAGCGCACATTCAAATAATATAAAAGATTTTCTTGGGGAATGAATTTCAAACAGAGAGACCCTCCTCCCAGAAGCTTTCTCTCTAAATTTAAAATATAGACTGACATTTATGCAAGAGGCATAAATAATTTAGATACATTTGTTTTTCTTTTGCATCTGGGAATTTTCATCTGTAATAAGCCTTTATATAGGAATTGTGAATCATACTTTTTTGTAATGAAAAGGCTTAAAGTTTGTAAAATTAATTTAACTATTGGTTGTACAGTACTCTCTTAAGGACAGCCTTTATATACATAACTTTACATAACTGCTTTATGGCCACATTTTCTGTTACTTGATTGTAAAGTGATTTTAATACCTCGGCAAAGGGTATTACATTTATGCTAATTGTTAGATAAGTGTGAACCGGTTAGTACTGCTGTGGCCTCCTGTGGGATAAGGGTGCTGAAAGTTCCATTTCCTGCCAATAACGGTGATATATAGTATGATATAATTAGAGGTCTGTGAGGTATACATATAATTAAAACATTCAAGCATTTTCAAGACAGTAACACATTTCAGCACCTGCTGGGGGAAAGAAAGCTTATTAAGCAGCTCCATGCAAATAAAAAGGATGGTTGCTCTCACAAAATAATTGAAGAAAAAGTTACTCATTTCAAGTTTACCTTGTCTTTGCCTCTTCTGGTAAAGCAAATCTTTTAAATTATTTAATATTTAATAATCTGCCACCTCAATTGAAAATGTTATTTCCATTTATCTGTGCATCTGAAGTTTTCAAAAATTACTCCACTATTTTATTTATAAAAGCAATGAACACTCAAACCAGTTAATTTAGAAACCTATAACACTGTTTTAAACAATTGTACAACAGGATTCACAGAATACTCCAATGATAGCACCAATATACAGTATTAAGGGCAGCAAGGTTCTTGACTCTCTAAATTAAGATCTCACTTCCATTAGTCTTTTCACCATCTGCAGAAGGTATCAGGTTTCTTTCAGTCATTTCCAGTTTGAGGAAATATGCTTACTGAACATAGTCACAGTGTACTGCCAACACCACCAGCTTCTCATGTGGTAGCAGCAATACCTTAATTAAGGGAAAACTAAAATCACACACTCTGTATGTAATATAACTATTTGTCAAATAATGTCATTAACTGTGCATGATTGTATTATTTCCCATCCTGCACTGAATTTGTTTTCTAAATACACATATTATTCTACAAATGTAGGACAATTAAAATGTTTTGAGATTTGTTTTTGTATAACTGACTAATTTCCTACAGTAAAACTATAAATCACTCGGCTGGGATTTCTTTTTAGAAATAGCCTGTTTAATATAATATTTAAGATCTAAATATTATATAATCTAATCTTTAAAAATGAGAATTAATTAGTTGGTTTCTTATCCATTTAACTTAAGCCTTAAACTTTGCTTCTCGTTTTGAATAATAAATTAAGAATGAAGAAAGTCATACAAGTGGTCTACAAATGTACAGAACAGACTGCCCTTTCAGGGCAATATAAACATTATAGTCCACTGGATAACTGCAAGATAAGCCACATATAATCTTGTGTATACTTCAGCGTAGTGTGGCTTAATCTCATGGTTTGTGGTACAGCAAATAACTACAGCATATACACTGTATATGTATATGAGTATATGAAGTCAGTATGCTGATCACTGAGTCATCAAGACATGCACAAGGGGGCACAAGAAGAAAAGATTCTACCTTCAAGGTCCACCTAGAGGAAGCTACAACAAACATCTGTAAGTCATAATTCATTAACAGCATATCATGTCCACACTCTGGCTGCAGGGGGTAGGTCTCTTCAATCTTTGTGACATTATGCATTTTAACTGTAGACTTCCCCAAGTACTGCAGCACAATAACAAAGGGCAAAATGTAGTGTACAGTATATAAAGTGGGCTGTAGCTACGCAGGGCTCTCGTGCAAGAACAGATAATAAATTACTGTTACCCATTCCAATGCACTATTTTACCTACAATTTTGTTTTTTAAGGTCACAAAAATAGCCTTGGTTCCCCATTTCTGATATATGGACCCTATTTATGATGTGATTGAGCATCATAAGCAACAGTGTATAAATATATTGATACAGACTTAAGAATCAAGATAGTGTATTCCACCCGAGACAAAGAATTTGCAAAGGCAAAGCCAAAACTAGACTGTGAAACTTTTCAGCACAATCACCAGCTACCACTTGTCAAGTGCTCTATAATGAAGATATCCAAGTTGAACTCTGCCCAAAGCACAGAGGTTTTTGAGCAGTACCAAATAAAAATTATCTTTGAAAAATGGTGTAAAATTGAAAGGATGACAATTCCTGAAAATGCTTCTTCTCGGTACAGTAGCCATTCAGTCGCATCTGAATCCACCAGGAGTCCTGGGTGGCTACCTGAAGAAGTGTGTACACATGTCAGTGGATTAAAGTACACAGTCAGATCAAAGATGCCTCAGCTTGCTGAGGGGGGCGTGTTTGATCTGTCACAGGAACCCCGGCTGCTGATGGGAGCAAATTATTGCTCTGAAGAAGAGTGCTAAGCAAAGGGCTGCTTGGGGGAGCCGCTGACAGCACATGGTTCCAGCAGGCCCCACTTGTAAGCTCCCAGGGGACACGGCTGCGACAGGGGAAGGGTCGTCATGACAATCTGTTGTTTCATGTCTATTAACCCCATCTCTGCTGCTGCTCTCTAGACCATCTTTTTACAGGGGCTCCTTAAGGTTTTGGCCTTCTCACTCTATTTGACTAGCTTTAGAGATAAGGAATTACAGGTGAGGTATCCTAGCAAAGCACTGTAAGTAAACCTTGACACCTAAATATAAAAAACTAAGATGGAGTGTTGCAGCAATACACATAAGGAAGAACAGGTAGATGTAGTCTGACAATACAAACTGCACATAGTTACACAAATTCAGTCATAAAGCGAATTATTTACATTTAAACGCAAGTTCAGAAAGTTATTGGCGAGGTTTAGGTGCATGCCTTTAAAGAACAAGTGTTACTTTCCTTTTGTACCCCCTAAAATATAGAATAAAAACATCACAGTTTATGTGTAAATGTTGCATTCTTTTTCTAAGTAAACAATATGAAATAACACTGAGACCCAGCAGCTTAACAATGAGCAAAGGAAAAAATTCCAGATCTAAAAATGTGAAATTTAACACTTCGTTCCATTTCAATCAGCCTTAAATAAAACCATTTGTGACAAAACTGCAATTAGCACTTAACAGGTTCTGCTTTTTAACATTCATTTCTTTAATTGGTTTTGAGAGTGGCCTGTGCAGGCTCTCTGCTTCATGAAAGTGGGACTGTAAGGTAGTTTTAAATGAAATATTCACTGTCTATTCCCTGGAGTCTTAAAAAAAATACAGAGAGAACTGGTGAAGAGTGAAAGTGTCAACAAATTAGACAAGCCAGTCTTTAGAAATAATGAGAAAAATCATCAGACATCGCCTGGCATTTTATAGACACCTAAATTGCAGATATACATCTGAAAACAAACCATTAACCCCTCCACCTGCCTCTTCCAATCCTCAACAAGTCACTCAAAGTGACCAGTTCCCAGAAGAGGCAAACTATTCGATTTCACAACAAACCTCCAGTTTGCTTCTTCTTTATTTTACTTTTTAAAAAAGAAAACAGATGTAATTCATTGTCATAGCTTTAGGTTGCTGATAACTTAAAGAAAATCTAAATGTTTTATTTTTTTAATCAGGAAATTATTTTAGCTGCACTTGGTTGGCAAGAGGACATCCAGGACTCAGATCCGCAGAAAATAAGTCACAGAAAAATGATTTTGTTCAGGTACGTATTGAAGGGGATCTTTTTGTTCCTTTTTGCTTTTCTGTATTCCTTTTATTTCTGGAATACAGAATCCTAGTCTTAACATCTTAACCAATGAAAAACAGAAAAAGGCCTATATTTTTTAAAAGAGCTTCTAAATCTATTATATGTGATTGACCATATGTGCACGTACTTAAATGCCCATTTAGAATGAACCAGTAACCAAAAGGGGCTAGGTTCCTGATGACAGCAAGCCATTTGGAGGTTACATTCATGTTCCTTTGCAAACATCTGCTTAAAAGGTGTTAGGAATCTTAAAGAGAAATCCTCCCAAACTCCAAGAGCAGTTTCAACAATGGTTCGGTCTGACAATGCGAGATGGAGGGATTTTGTGACTCTATTGTCCCGTCTGTCAGGTCAGAGGACACAGCGAATGACTGATCAGTACGGTTTACGGGTCTGCAATTGAAGCAGCTTAAAAGCAAGAACTACTAAGATTCTTTAGGCCGCAGAATAACATTAAACAACTATTAGCAGCTCAGCTCAATAAAGCTTTACAAGGGGTCTTGCCAGGTCATTCACAGCAACAGAAAAAAAAATGCTTTCACAGCCCCATTAAGGCGACATACTAAGACACGAAAGATATATGACATCAGCTTGTGAAACGGCCACTGTATTTTGGCAATTAAACGGTGCACATTAAATGATAAAATGATTTGTAATTATTCAAGCATGACTAAACTGTGATTTTAAACACTGCAATAACAGAGATGCAGGACCAGGGGCAGCCTGATTATAAACTAGGCGTACTATACTAAGATGTCTTCACTTTCAATTCAATTATTTTTTGAGTAATTGCATGCTTTCACAAAGAAAGGAAAACGCACCAATATTTTATGTAACCATCATGTGCTTGCTTGGTGCACACTTGTTTATGGTATCTATGGCAGAAATTCTGCTAGAATGGAAATAAAAATGTAGGCTTGTAACTTATATTTAGACATGTATTTTTCAGCATTTTGTTCTAGATCATTTGATTATGTTATGTGAACAAATCATCCTTAACTATTATTTCTAAAGAACCCATATCTTCCTAGACAGTAATGTGAATATTTTTTTCATCATTCATAATGAATATTACATAAAACAAACCAATGAAGCAAAAGTAACATAGTGAAAAGACTTCCCACAATATCAAAAAGGAGAAGGTTTGTTGGTTTTATTTACCAGATTTGCTTTCAATGCTAAATGTATTATTTTGATTAAAGTGGGGCAATCAACAATATTTTTAGATTAAATCAAGAACAATTTAAATATCATACATATGTCCCTTTATTAAAACACAGGATGGGTACATAATGTGACTGAACCACATTAGGAAGAATTATTACATTTAACTCCCCAATTCACATTCTGTTATTTTTCAAAACAAACCTTCATGCAAAGATCAGAAAAACAAAACAGTACACAAAAATAGCCCTAACAGACAGGATACTACCTAAAGTCCAGCTTTAAGGATTGATCTATGTTATAAAGAAACCAGAGCTTCCTTAAAAAGCTTGCTATAGACACCCTACACTTACACTTTATGACACAGAGCATAGCAATGCATAGTTCAGGAGGAGATATTTTTCATTATAAAGGCAAGAAAGAAACCTTCAGGGAAACAGGAAAACATACAAGCTTTAAAGCTATGCAATATTTACAAGCTACTGTACATGGTACATAGCATCCCTGTTTCTCCATTTATATATTTTTCAAAAAAAGTTCTTTTAATATCACCGGTAGGACGTAAATCTTTGCAAGAGAGAAAGCTTCGATTGTGTGCCGCTGTACAATAGGAAAGCAGTCAATACCAGGCAACACAGGGCAGTGTGCTTTCATCAGACACTTTGAAAAGTAATGCTGCATACATGTCAATGCTGGACAAGAGTGTGTTACCGAGTGCGGCTGAGTGTTTTCCCCACAGGCAATACACTATTAGTGACTCTCCCCATTAATGGTGTTGGGTGGATGTACATTTATTGAAGTTTCTAATGGAAGGCTGAGGGACCTCTTTCCTCAGGCAAGGGGAGAAAGGCAGCCTATCACTTCATGTAATGGTAGCCCATGTGTGACAGGCCTGACCTATATTTCCCCCCTTTTCTTACTCCCAACTGCCTTGCTCTGCTCCAAGAAAGCATTTTGTGAGAAATATAAAGGAAACAAAACACTGTGCTTGTCTGTAACATAGTTTAATGCCCATTATACTGGCTCCTCCTGACCCCCCTTTTCACATATTTTCTTTAATATATTTGCTTTTCTTTAATAACTGTTCTTCACACACGCGTTCACATACACATATAAATTCTAAGTAGCCTTTAGACAAGTGCGTTAAGAGACATATCGAGGAAATCTTGGAAATTTGCATAAATTGAGTCATGTTAACTAGGTTTGTTTACGCTTCAACTGAAGTGACCTTTTCAGATTCTGTTCAGGGATATTCCGGCTGTGTACAGTTTGACCATTCACTCACTATATAATACTGAGTATTAGGGGAAACAAAACAGACTGGTATTAAGCTGGCTGGTTGCAACTTTTCTTATCATTAATATTCTCATAATTAATATCATTTTTATAACAAACACTAAACTTTCTATAAAAAATGTGTAGTTATTTTTAAGATGGACAAAAGATTATTAATATGATTTATGGGATCCATCTCATAAAGATGCACTGGAAGTCAAGAATTTCTGAAACACAAATATTTCATAGGATGAACAAAGTTTTGTCAAAGTACCAGTGTGCAGGAAAATCAACATTCAAAGGTTTCAACTTATTAGTTAAAGCTGAGTTTATGTTAACACAGTAAAATATCAAGGAGATACAATCAGTGTGGTGATAGGACTGTACACACACAAATATTTAATGGAGGCTGCACTCTGCACTTCAAAGCTCAATGTACTGCTTAGTAGAGACCTACCATGCCGCTGTAGGTCATAGTTTTTCTTTGTCTCCTCATTGCCAAGAATCTTCCATGCCTGGTCAACTTCGATGAACCTCTGAACACACTGCTCCACCTCTCCTGGTGGCACATCTGGACTCTGTTTATCTGGGTGATACTGCCAATCACAGGGAGAAAGAAAAGTGAAGAAAAAAAACATAGCAGCATCCAATCCCTTAATAAACTTAGATTTATTTGCACTGAGGTGGGGACTGATGGGGACTACAGTTGGGGGTAGGGGGCACACAAGATACACAAAAAAGCCACCACCATTCAGGCACAGGAGATTGCACGCCAGGTTAATTAGACCACAGGAGTCACTGAGAATCTGCCAGTAAAAACCTGATGTCACAACCTGCACTGACAGCATTTTCTGGGTAATTTGCTGATGGACCTGCTCGTCTTCTGGACAATTTACCAAAAGAGGCTGAGTAAAGCAAACAAAAATAGATTGAGGCAATGCTATACAATATGTAAGAATAAAAATCTTCAGGATAGACAAGCTTTCACAATCACATGGGAAAGAGAGAATAACAAAATAGCTACAAAACGTACAGGCTGAAAAATCATAAGCCTTTGGATTCCTGCCTACTTATTTGTCTTTAAAGCCGTGCAAACTATTTTTTTCTCCTAAATAAACACTAAATAAAAAAAGATAGTCATTTCATGATTAATATCAATTTGGAAGGACTATTTTCCTGTAACTATCAAAATAGCTTGAGGAAATTTCACATTTGCTCCCAGTTTGGCATTCCTGTTCAAATGTATTTATAGTTTATAAAACCACTCAGTAATTTTTCCTGCAGGTTTTCAGATCCGGAGATGTACCCAGAGAATAGTGAGGGTTGCAGTTTTCACCATTGAATGATTTAGTATTGCCTGGGGGAGAGGGGGGGAGACGGGGTGGGACAGAAAACAACTTAGATCCTTTCTAGCAACTATTCAGCCGGATGGTGATTATAATCTGGCACTGACTGGCGGGGCATTGCGTGTGTGTGTGTGTTTGTGTTTGTATGGTCGCTGTAGTTCAGAAGCTGAACCGTGTCCAAACTCGAGTAATGATGCATGGGTTGATACCGAACTACAATAACCAACAGTCCCTCGCAGGCCAATTACTGTCTAGGATAATTATATTTTTAATTTTAAGTAACAGGAAGACTAACTGAATTCAACTAATCATTTCAAGCAATTACTTTTAAAACTAATTAAAATTCAGAGTGCCTGTACTCAGATGTTATCTTTTTTGTTTCCACTTTGTAAACGGATGTACCAAAAAGAAATAAAAAAATCAACTTTACTACAAGCCAAACACCAACATCATGCCTTGATTGAAAGAATCATTAGCAGGCTTTTGAAGCTGGAATCCGAAACAACATTCTGCATTGTGATTGGGGACTGTATTCGTTTGTTTAATGCCAGGTGCTCTTCTCATCCATTTTGAATTGTTTCTCAGCAATCAAAGCTCTGCAGTTTAAAAGGGCAGAGACAATAAAAAAGGAGTGGAAATGTACAAATACTCAAGTGCTCAACAGAAAGACTTCATTTAATGGTCATCTATGAAAGAAGCAGACCAGGAAAAGGAAGATTAGGATAATGAGGAACATAATGCAGACACTTTTTCCATAATTCCTATGAGAAATCTCAGAGTTTAAAATCTTAAATTAATAATTAATTTAGAGGTTTAGCATGAATATAATAAAACAACAATATAAAGGAGCCAATGTCAAAATTAATTAAAGTATTCACCTATTGTGTGTGGATGCCATTTTTGTGTCTGTGCCTGTTGTTTACTTTCTAATAAAGTATTACTATTGGTGTTAACAGAAAAAAAAACATCTCTTTTATTCTTTATTCACACCAATAATAAAGAATAGGTTACAAATGCTACCATGAATAATACTGTATCTTATTAAACACTTTACTAACTACTTCCATCTGTATGGACTGAAGTATTTCACAGTACACTCTGCAACAGGTCACCTTGACCTATAACAATAGCAGGAAAGAAAGACCCCAAGGAAATGGTTATGCAGTTTTCTAAAATCTATCATGCAGCTTCCATGCTAAAATCCACAAAATCTAAAGCATTTAAACCTACAGTATTAGGACTGCTGAGCCTCTACTTTAAATCTTCTGTTCTACATCTTAATTAAAAACAACCCAATGCAGCTACTTCTGTTACATTTAACATTGCTTTGATATGTGGACATTGATTCAATTTACTTAAAAGGTTCCTTATATATACAATAAAGGGAAAGGAGATTATATTGATTACCAATATAGAGATTTAAATTTAAACCTGCCTAATTCTCAAATTAATGGTAAAAAAATGTTGAAAAATACTAAGAAAAGCAACTACTCCACAACTCAAAGTCTATTAAGAAGATACTTTTAAGTACCTAAAACTTTTATTTTGTAGTTTCTGTTTAAAATTACCTGTTTATTTAGATTGCTGACATGATATCAAAATTACACTATTTCAAGATTGTCATTCACAGCACTGTCTTTGGCAAATATTGCTGCTCTTGTAAGGCAAGTGTTAGTCTTATGATACGGAATTAAAACCATAATGGACAAAAAGCACAACAACTTGCCACATCATCTAATATATCTGCAGGTGATCTGCTTTCTGCATTTCTGTATTATTTCATTCATCCATCATCACCAGCAATTCCATCCTATACAGAGATGCTTGAGCCAAAATCTAACCTCAAAGTCACAGGGTACGAGGCAGAACAACATCCTGGATGGGATTCAAGCCCACTGTAGGGACACTGTTACGTTCTGTTTTTTTTTTACTCCCCTCCTGTGCGTGGGTCCATTTTTGGAGGGGAGTGTGTCCCTAAATTGGGTCTCTCTTTGGATTGGTTGAAGAGAGCGGTCCGGTTTCAAAGAGAGTGTGTGGAAAGGTGTTAAACGGGAGACGTATCAAATTTGTTTTCTTGGCTGTGGTGTAGTGTTGGGATTGTTGTGGTATCCATGTTTTTTTAGTTTTCGGTTATAGCTTAGTTTAGATACAGTAGACAGTTATCTTACAGAAGACTTTGCTTTAGCTTTGCCACCCCTTTCTCGGCAGAGAGATTTAGAGGGTATTGGGTTGAAGAATAGTATAGTGTTTTTTTTTTGTTTGTTTGTGTATTTCTGGCTGTTATGTTAGTGGCTCATATGTTAGTCCCCATTCACCCCTAGACTGAGCCATAGTGGAGATGTAACAGACAGATCCAATTTAGAGAAACCGTTTTAATCTAAACAGCATGTATTTGCAAGGTAAGAGGAAACTGAAGCACTGGGAAAAAACTCACAAGAATATGGGAGGAACATGAAAACTCCCTATCAAAAGCAGCCCAGAACTGCCACAAGACCTTAGACCTATGAAGCAGCAGTATTAACCACCACACAACTTTCAGAATTTAGAAATTACTATTGAACTGAAACGGGCGACTTTCTTCCTAGCCTGAGTTCAGATATACACACATTTGTCTTCTTTCTTTGGAACGTTTCTCAAGGTTTTTTCCCCCAGTGTCAACTTTTCACAGAGTAGGAAGCATGACACTGGTCCAATAGCCATAAGGAATTCTCCACAATCACACTTGTGATATTCACATCTGATGCTATATGTTTTGCACTCATTTTTTCATATCACAGGTAAAAAGTTCAGTGCTTTATAGGACGCACTTTTCCAATGTTGTTTAAAATAAGTAATATCCAAAAATCTCTTAATTTTTATTTACAACCTCTGAAGCAGTGTCTGAGATTCAGTGCTTTCTATTCCACCACACAAACCAGACTTTCACTTATTAGATAAAAATATTTCTCATCCAGAAAATCCATAGCTACTGTTTGTTGCTAACAACACCTATGTCTTGCAGTCACCTCAGAGAATTGCAATTACTTCACCTAGAGGAATACAAGTTGCACTGTGTATGGCTGGAGCCAAGTTAATTTCAGTAGAAAATAATTTGTGTTGGGAACATTGAACAGAAAAGGGACTTTTCTAACAGCTCATTTTACATGCCAAAAAGCCACAGGAATCCAATTAAAATCTAAACCCATTAGTAAGCTTGTGGAAATTAACAGCACATTTATTGTAATGGCTTAGTATTAAAAATCAACCTTTGCTACAATAAAATTAATATTAATAAAATCTTTCTTCTATGCTTTTTTTAGTTGAAAAAAGCGTTACAGGACTATAAAAATTGTAAAGTTAGAAACAGGTGCTTGAATTTATGAGTGAAACATATCATTCAGACTTGTGTGGTACTGGCCAAATTGTGGGTGGTAGTACAGTATGTAGCATTTAGAGCTCTGAAGTCTATACTGGAGGGCCTTGGGTTCAGATCCCATGTGGGTACATTTATTGGAGTATCAGTCAAATTAATAATAATCATGAAGAAAGAGTTTGGACTGAAGTGTGCTTGGCAAAGAGAACTAGTCCCAAACCACCATACTCCCACCACAATGTTTGATGATCACAATGAGGATCTCCTGTTAAAAAGGAGTTGGGCTTTTGCCACACAAAACATTTCTCATTGTGGCCAAAACGTTCTGACTCTTCAGTCCATGACTGAAGAGACCATGACTCTTCTCAATTAATTCGTCTTGTGTATCACCTACTGTAGGTGCACTTTGGCAAACTTGAGATGGTGAATTGGTCTTTTTAGGGAGCAATGTTTTCATCCTGACACTCTTGCCATGAAACCCACCATTCAGTCTTTTCACGATGGCTGAGACATGATCACTGGCATTATTACAGATCTTTAGATGTTATTCAGGGCTTCCTTTTTGGATTCATGGATGACTGGTCTTGGGTAGAGTCACCATGGACTGTTTTAATTTTTTCCTGCCAGTCTAACAGTGGATTTTAGAAACTGTTTATTGTAGCTCTCCAGACTGCCGATCATCAATGAATTCGCCTGAGGTGCACAAAAATCTCTTTTCATCATAGCATACTGTTTCCACTAACCTGTTGTAAACCTATTATCACCAAACTCACAAGGTTTCTGATCATTATAAAGGACAGGACTGTTACCCAATTATTTAACCACCTGACTTTGATTACCTCCTTACTAGTGCAAAGTAAACTAGGGGTTCACTTATTATTTTACATACACTGAAAGA